TCCCCCCCCCCCCCCCCCCCCCCCCCCCCCCCCCCCCCCCCCCCCGCCCCGCCCCCGGGTTTCGGGTAGGTAGGCAGGTACCAAGCGTATCATTCCGCCGGAGAACGTTTACTGTATTGTGCTCACTGCCAATGCATCTGTAACGAAGACTGAACTCAAAGTCTGTGTATTTCTCTATCTAGAATGCAATCGTCTGTTATGGCTACAAAGGTATTAAGTTCATTTGCACCCCTCCCCTACCCTTGACTGCTGACCTTGATACGGTTTGTCGCTTCCACCCCGGCTGTACAGTTTGCTGCTAATCCCCGCTGAAACCCGTCTTGGCATGTTGAGAGGAGAACTTCGGGGTGAACCGAGGGTGCGTGACCAGGGGAGCTGTGCCTCGATTACAATAGGCAACGAGGCCGAAGTCAAGACCGCCAAACATCAAGGCCTAGGGCAACTAGATAATTAGATGTTTCTCTTATGGAAGAAGTTGTATGTACATTTGACTCCGTTTCCCCATAGTCACGCACGACGACGCGGTAAGGATGTGCTTTTCCACCTTGATACGAGTCTGATACGAGGGTCTGCATATGCCACCGAATGGGGTCGCTCCTAGCTTATCTTCGCCTTTTCGAGCATCACCATGTCCCTCAATTAGGTACCATTAGGTAAGTTCTGGTAGGTCGCTGCGTATGCTATGAGACCCCTGGTTCCTCGGCAACTTTCTTACCAAGTAGTCAATTGGACTAATTTTCTCCTCATTTTCTCCAAGATACTGCACTATGATAGTCTGTCTAAAACGTTATTCCTTTTCTGATGTTCTTCCCTCGTCTAACATTGGTAGATCCCAGTCGCGCTTGATCCTCGATAAAAATGGTTCTTCACTCGAGATGGGAGGTTCCGATCCCTAACTGTTCGCTCCACAAATGGGTCTTCTGTTCTTCACTTGGTCCCCTTCCGGATACGCCTCTGTTTATTGACGCGGATCACCCTGAAACCCGAATCATCACAAGATCTGGCTATCGATTATGGTCGAAACGAATAGCATTGGGCCTACTGCGGGCTGGCTTGAAGAAGGGGGATCGCGTACTGCTTTTCTCGGGAAATAACATATTCTTACCCACGATTTTCATGGGTACACTAATGGCGGGCGGTGTATTCAGCGGTGCAAACCCTAGCTTCGTCGCTCGCGAGCTTGCTTACCAAATTCAGGACAGCGGAGCGTACATTCTCATTGCTGCTGACGCTAGCATGGAGATTGCTATGGAGGCAGCAGAGCAGGCGGGCTTACCTAAGAGTCGTGTGTATAGTTTTGACGCGACGGCGATGGATAAGCAGAAGGGTGAGGCTCGTCTGGGATCTCAACATTGGACGAACCTGCTCGCATCTGAGGCCGACGCTGCGAAATGGGATTGGGAGGAGCCGCTCCCGAAAGAGACGACATGCTGCTTGAATTATAGCTCAGGGACAACGGGCGTTCCGAAGGGCGTGGAAATCTCACATTATTCGTACGTAGCCAATGGTGCGCATGTGGACTACGTGGACCGCTTGGAACCCCGTGCTTTGTTCAAGAGGAAGTCTTATCGCCATCTCTGCTTCTTGCCATGTTACCACGCGTACGGACAGACATATTTTTTGGCCAACATCCCCCATGTCGGAGCCCCAGTATACATGATGCCTTCATTCAATTTCGAGAAGATGCTGCAGCATATCCAGCGTTTTCGTATTACCCATATTACAGCAGTCCCACCTATCATTGTTATGCTAGCAAAGAGCCCCTTGTCACGCAAGTACGACTTGAGTAGCATACAGGCCGTAGGTTCCGGCGCTGCTCCTCTCGGTCTCGAGGTCTCTGACGAAGCCGCGAAGATATGGCCAACGGGTGCCATCACAGTTCGGCAGGGCTGGGGTATGACTGAGTTGACCTGCACCGTCACCAACTGGGATCCCAATGAACCCAAAAGACGGACAGCGGCGATTGGCGAGCTAATGCCAAACTGCAAAGCACGCCTCATGAAGACCGATGGCTCCGGTGAAGTGACAGCTCCGAATGAGAGGGGTGAGCTCTGGGTTGCAAGTCCGACCCTGATGAAGGGGTACTGGAAGAGGCCTGACGCTACGGCCGACACTATGCATGTTGATCCTGACGGAACGCGTTGGATGAAGACGGGAGACGTTGCCTATATTGAAAAGTACGAGTCAGGAGGAAAGCTCTTTATTGTTGACCGGATAAAGGAACTCATCAAAGTGAAGGGGAATCAGGTCGCACCAGCCGAACTGGAGGCTCTCTTGCTCGATCATGCAGCCGTCGCAGACGCTGGTGTCGTGGGCGTCACTATCAACGGGGAAGAAGTCCCGCGCGCCTACATCGTTCCTAAACCTGATGCCAAAGTGACGGAGAAGGATATTGCGGAGTGGTTAGCGACGCGTGTCATCAGCTATAAACGCTTGAGAGGAGGTGTAAGCTTCGCCGATGCCATTCCAAGGAATCCGGTGAGTCTGCAATCATCAATACTTATGACTGAGAATCAAAATTAATGTTTAAATCTAGTCTGGAAAGATTCAGCGTAGACAGCTTAGAGATCTCGCTGCAAAGCAAGTTGGAGACCGGAAGCCCACAGAATCAAGGCTGGCTTGAGAATTAGTTGAAGGAACTTCTGCTGTCTCTCGCAATAAAGCATCTGTAGAACTACCCTATTATGTGGTCTATAACAAGTGATAAACGAGAATATGGAGATCATCACGATGATCTTTCGACATCTTTGTTTAATTGACAAGGCTTATAGCCCCTGAACCGGATTTCAATTTGACTAGATCCCTGATAAGTGACTGCTGAGGTATGTAGATGGCTGAGTTGCTGGTCATATACATGGCTAGCTTATTATGCTGACAAGATGTCTGTGTGTACAGACAGTGCCTTTGCCACTTAGACAATATCTCCCGCAGGAAACTACAACCATGCAATGAAATCCAAGTTCTTCGGACTGGATATGAGAAGGTCGTTACTAGTCAAGCTCGCTGCTTCTCATTAAGATATAAAATATACGGGAGTGATGACTATTCCGACGGAAAGAGCAGCAGCTCGAGGCAGGGCTATCATCCCAACGTTCCCTGCAACGAGACAGCAATCCGTTGTCACAATCTTTCCAACGCCGCAATTACTACTCGATGCACTTCATATTAGGAACAGTACACCATTAAGCTCCATCGCAGTTCACGGGCATCACACCTCCAAAACCAATATACCCGCCAAAGAACTCTTAAAGTGTCTCTTTCTTCCTAAGATTTGTTTACCCAACGAAAAGAAAGAGGAAAAATATTGAGCAGTGGAATGGAATATGGCGTGGGAGAGCCACTGTGCAGACACAAACACTTATTTCGTTCCCGCCCGAGACAGACGATTACGCAGTGCATTATCGGAAACGCCTGGCTTGTCGCCCGCTGAGGTTGAAGAGTACCTCGGAAACGACTTACAATTGTCTACTTTATTTCGAGATTGCAAATTTTGTCAGCTCGAATGGCTAGATCCGGCAAAGCCAACCGTACAGTCGCCATCTCAGGACCCAAACCTCCATCGTCATCATCATCATCACCATCAACTCGGTCGCACGGTCGAGTATCGTTCTTTCTTAGTCAAGATTCACACCACACCAAGCGCAAAAGGCAGATGTCCGCGTTATATACCCGGAGTCATTGGTGTATCCTTCGCAACGGATTCGCAATATAACGTAATCAAATCGTATGATACGGGGTTTGGGGTCACTGCTTTGAGAGGCCACTTGGAAGCGGCTCGCATCGCCCTGGAGACAATATTGTCCCGTATAATCCCAGACCGTCGGGTTGAATTGATGAGACAGGACAACTTCCTGAAAAATCATCCGGGCAGTAAGACTTTCTGATCGATCTAGCGCTTATTGTATGCTGATTAAGTTTGTTTAGTGAATGATTGGCATCCCGATTTTCGTGTTATCATAGCAACTGAGAGCTCGGCCCTCATCAATCTCATAACTTATAATCAGAAATTGACATGGTTGAGCTTTGGTACTAATCCAGGGAATGAGTCGCAGTACACTTTCGTCAGAGGGACGGCGGTTATGCACACCTGCAATTACCCGCAAGTCATAAATCTGCTCTTTGACCTAGGGCAGTTGGGTGTCGGCGTCAAATGGTGGCTCTGGACTGTCCGAGACAATGCAGCTCGTGATATGTGTGATCAGCAGCTAGCGGGTGCGGGCCTGGCTAACTAGAGGGAAACTCCTGTAGGCTTTTGTAGGTAATATTATGTGATTATCGTGTAGACGGCACCATCTCCCGAGAGTGGGATATCCTTCTCTCTCATGAGCATGTGTGGGCACTAAGTATGAATATGTACCTATTCATAATCTCAGCACTGTAAATGTGGTACTCACGAACAGAGGGTGTCACGTTTTTTGCATGCCAAGCCAATAGACAGGAGGAAGCATTAATTTCCTGTTTCTTCCCTGCTCCTCTAGCTGGGCATGCCTAGAATACTATTACGGTACTTACGAAGTAGGTTGCTGGCCAAGAACCGAGAGGGGAGAACATGCTTAGGACTCTCAGAGACTGTGCAACGTCCTTACTTCGTATTGAGAATTTCTTCTGGCAGACCTCTGGCACAGCTTCCGGGGATCGCCTAAAATTCATGATGTCACCAGGTTAGGTGTGGTTCGCTGTGGCTTGCGTATGAACGGATGCTACTGCAGGTCATGACGCCAGACGCGCATCAATAGCTATCACTAGATGCATTGTCTCAGCTCTTAATGATTCTTGCTGCCGCCGTCATGGGGCCGCAGTAAGCGCGTCCACGATACCTACAGTTTGGTGCTAGCACGTCGGCCCCTCTTGAGCTGCGTGCGAGCTGCGTGCATTCAGCTGAAGATCACAGTTCAAATGCCTCAGTTAGTTCGAGCGTCGACAGCTTCAGCAGAATAGTCCAGGCACCAGTGGAAACGTTCCCCATCTCTGCCCACCCCATTCGAGACCATTCCGCTCGCAGACACTCGGTAGTTGTGATCTACGCTGCACGCGCCTCTTGGCGTTCCCGGCAGTCGCCCCGCGCATAGGGTTTAAGTCAATAGTCACTTGACGGGCCGCGATTTTGCATCAATACCGCAGCTGACAGCACACTAAGTCACCATGATATTGGCATATTGTTGCTTTTCCCGATAGCTGACCGAAGCTTGTCTCTCATCTCTAGCCATGATGATCGGCAAGACATCCAAGTCTTTGGTCTGTTAGCCCTGAATATATAAATGAAGTAGCAGCTGCTATCCAGGCCACAATCATGAGCCACCCGTAGCCTCCTACCCCCAAGAACTCCTTGACATATCTCACAATGGGTTTCAGCAAGGTCGCCGCACTTCTACCTTTGTTGCTCTCTTCGTTTGCGACGGCTGCGCCAACAGAAGCCGCCGGACTTGAGAATAGGGCAGAGGACTATTCAACTATCTACGATGTGGTTGTAGTTGGAGGTGGTCCGGCTGGCCTCAGTGCCGGTAAGTACTCCCTAATTTCCATCAATTGGTAGGGATCTCGCTGACTAGGTTATGCGTTACCAGCAAGCGGCCTGGCTAGAGTACGTCGGAATGTGTTGCTGATTGACTCTGGCGTCTATCGTAATGATCCCACCCGGCACATGCATGATGTGATTGGGAGCGACGGTAAGTTGTAGATACTCGGCACCCTGAAAGCTTGCGGCCGTTGGGTTCTAGCTTTGGAGGAGGTTTTGAGGTGTTGACGAATCGCACAGGTGTGTCTCCGGCTTGGTTCCGATATAAGGCCCGTGGGCAGCTCGCATACTACTCGACGGCTAGACTGACCAACGGAACGGTAACAAGCATTGAAGCTGCGCCGGGTGGTAATGCTACAGCACAAGCTGGGCCGTTCACCGTCCGGACAACTTCCCCCTCGGGCGAAGAAAGTACGGCTGGCGCGCGTGGCATCATCCTGGCAACGGGTCTAACGGACATCATACCTGATACACCCGGCGTCAAGGAGAGTTGGGGGAAAGGAATTTTCTGGTGTCCTGTAAGTGAAAACAGCATAGCTAAAGGAGATCATCGCTAATATGTTGATGTTACCAAAAGTGGTGCGACGGAAACGAACATGCAGATCAACCCCTCGGTATCCTCAGTAACTTGGACGAGGCAGCCAGCTTATCCCAGGAGATCTCCACAGTCAATGATAACATCATTGCGTTTGTGAACGGGACAAACACGCCGGAGATGCGCGAGGCAACCAACAAGAAGTTCCCAGGCTGGGAGGAATACCTTCAGTTGCGCAACATCACGGTAGAAAACCGCACGATTTCCCGCCTCGTGCGTCTCGCGGACGGCGGCCAAGATGAGCACCCTGAGGCGCCTACGTTCCCCGAGAAAGACCTATTCCGTGTCGAATTCACGGAAGGCCCGAGCGTGGAGCGTGCAGCGTTTTTCGCGAGCTTTCCCAACAAGCAGCACTCGAGCGTGGGCGCCGATATGGGCGTGCGGCTCGATGGTGGCAGACTCGCGGCTGACAGCACGAGGGGCCTCATGACCAACATCCCCGGTGTCTACGCCATCGGCGACGCGAACGCCGATAACGTCACGAACGTGCCGCATGCTATGTTCTCCGGAAAGCGAGCTGCTGTCTTCTTACATGGTGAGTTCCTCATGCCTCCAATTCAGGGCCTGCGTGCCTTTCAGCTACGTAAGATTGTGATTTGTATGAATTTACGCTAATTTATGTAATCATGAACAGTCGCGCTCGCTCGCCAAGAGACAGCTGCACTGCTTGCCCAGGCCAACGGAACATCCGTTGAGGAGAGAGGCCTTGAGAATGAACTTGACCCCCGCGCTATCTGGGAGGTAATGAACGGCGGAGAGGCAGATATCCTGGACGCAGGAGACTTTGAACAGTAATTGAGCATCAACGGGTATTTCATGATCAACAACCTAATGAACTAATGCGGAACACGCTTCAGTGGGTATGGCGGTGGCACACGGTTATCTAAAAGTTGAAGTATTGTAATGTCTCATACTCTCTGTTAGTATTCACCTAGCTAGTATCTTATTAATATCCTAAGACACGGCACGACCCGCTTCCGCTTCCACTCCCGCGCACCGGCTAGCAAGAGTTTGATTCAGCTCTACGCGGCGCTAGAGTTAGGATGGCGCTGCTTTAGTGAGACAGATCATGATAAGTCAAGTAGAAAGCAGATGCTCATCTCTGATGTGAAAACAGAGTGCATCTCGGTTAGACTTGTGAGTAGATTCTTGCTATCATTCGTGAATACTACGAACGTGCGGGAAGGACGTGCAACACTAGAGTTCCTTGGCTACTGTGTGCAACCCCCCTTTTTTGCCCTTACGGCTATGATGCCTACGATGAATGTCGATATCGAAACCCTATTCAATTCAAGTCGAACCTGAGCTAGATGCCCATTAATAATAGAATCTGTGCATACCAATCTCCGCGAAGCCATTTCAATGACACTAGATACATTCAACATGAAAGAACAGACATTGAGCATGCCGTGTATGTATGTTACACGCGTAGAAGCTGAACATGTAGTTCACCTTTAGCTACGGACATATTGCGGGCTGTTCATGATATTCGAGAGACATGCAGGCAATATTGAAAATGAGACTATACAGACCTCACTGTATGAAACAGATCAATGAGACCGTCTCATTGAGACCCGACGGTCAGGACTTGCAGTCCAATTGTATATTGAGTTAAGTCAAGCCTGGGCGAACTCGAGTCGCGAATAGTCCTGGGTCATCGGTGGCGTCGCGGTCGCGGTCCGAATACATGAGTTTTCGTTCCATGTCTGAGCGTAAAGTAGCTGTTGAAGGATTCTGATGATTCTTAAATGAAATATTGTAAGAGATGGAAATTTGGCCAATCTCGCTTCGGCTAGCATTCAAAGTGAGTACGCTGCTCGAAACGCACGGGGCTTGGGAAACGGCGTGATTTTCCGTTCAGTGCTTTATTCACTACTCTTGATAGTCCGAAGTTCCAATTTGACTGGTGGAATTTCATGCCTGCTCCGCTTTCTCCGGCTCCGAATTAGGTATCGTAACCCGGATGATGGATAAAATCTGGTGTTATATTAAGCGCTTGCGTATGAAATATAGGCATGGATTCAAGATGGCTTCTAGCTACTGCCTGTATATAGAGTCGCGTTTGCGCCGACCACACGGCCGCGGCAGTCACACCAATATCTCTTAGGGTAGTCACGGCGATCGCGATCAAAATGAGGCTCTCTTCACTTGCTACCATCTTGGCACTTGGTGCACTCCAGGCTGTCGCCACCCCAACGCAGCCCGACTTGGCTCCCCGGGCCACGCCTACGGTCTATCTATGCGGTGATAGCACGATGGCCAACAGAGGCGCCAACGATGGGGCTACGGATGGCTGGGGCCAATACTTCGGAACCTATTCCACAGTGACTGTGGTCAACAAGGCCATCGGCGGCCGCTCAGCTCGCTCTTACTGGAACGAAGGGCGATTCCAAGAGGTCGCTAACCTCGTTAAATCCGGCGATATCGTCGTCATTGAATTTGGACACAACGACGGAGGCTCGCCTAGGTCGAACGACAACGGTCGATCCGCCTGCCCTGGCACCGGTACGGAGACATGTACTTCAGACAAAACGGGCGAGGTCGTGTATACATTCGTATTCTACGTGATCCAGGCCGCGAAGCTCATGACGGCTAAGGGGGCGACTGTTATCTTGAGCTCCCAAACCCCCAACAACCTTTGGGAGACGGGAACCTTCGTCGGCGGTGCGCCACGATTTGTGGGCTATCAATTAACGGCGCAGAAGGCATTGAGTAGCAGCAGCGTCACCTTTGTTGACCACTTCCAGGCTGTAGCTAACAGTAAGTCTTTCAAGATTATGCGCTTGCGTTTATGTTGTGGCCCTACTATATCGGATCGAAAGTTATCTCCGTGGCTTTTACATGGTGATAGACTAACTCTCAGTGTCCTACAGCCTACCAAAAGATTGGAAACTCTGCAACAAATGCCCTCTACCCGAGAGACCACACTCATACTAGCCCCCAAGGTGCCAGCTTGGTTGCGCAGGCTTTCACGCAGGCCATTTACCAATCGATGAATGGCACTACATCACTCAAGAACTACATCAAAAACCCGCCAACAGTGTACTAAAGCCTATAGTCGTAGATAGCACTCATCAATGTCAAACCGTTAGTATGAAAGCTTTGAATTACACTGATTACAACCCTTGAAGTGACAAGGAAAACACCTTGTGTATACAATTATTATCCACACATTCAAGTCTTCTAAGAAGACTATTTTCACCAAGATCGCTAGCGGGAGTTGAATCTAAAACAAATTTGCTGAATAGCTACATTCCATGCACTTTGGTAGGCTATGAGGCCGGCCAGGGCGCATAAGGAATCACGTTCAGTGGTTTTTATGCCGTAGTAACGAAGTTCATCTATCGGCGCTACCAAGAGATACAGCAACCGGCAAATAGTAATTTATTTGGATCACGATGTCTAAGATAGCAGCGAAAGAAATCTCAAGAAATACAGAAACATCGACAACTTTGCCCAGCAACATAGGGTTGATTTTCATCCCGCTAGTCGAGGAACCGGCAACAGATCACGTTTGCTCCTGAAATAACGGCGGCAATGAAGGTCCTTGATCTTTAGGGCACTACGCCTTAGACACTTAGCAAACATGTGAAGTGCAGTATTGGGATTCTATTGTCCAATGCGCTAAAAGAGAAGCAACTCTTTGAAGCGGAATGGGGCTTATGCAATAAAACGTGAACCTTTATCCATGTTATCGATAAGACCAACAAATCTCTAGGACTGGAAGCTGTGCCCTAGATCTGGTAGCGCGATGCCCCACTCTTTCTCTGCGATACACCAAAAAAGTACCTGAAGTCTAAAATCCCCCCTCGCTCGCGAACTTTTCGGCATCACACACCACGAGCTCCCAACACTCCCTCAAAACCGTCATCCACCACACAGGCGCAGGATTCGACTTCTTTGCGTTCTCAATCACCTTCATCGTCACACCATCTGCTACAATGGCTCCTCAGACAGTACGTATACCTTGACATCGCTTTGCTGTTGGCCCAGTCTCTCTGGCAAACCACCCAGCGAGATCATGGCGTGAAACAGTAGGCTAAAGTCAACTCCAACATGTAGAAGAAGTCCGGCAAGGCTGGCAAGCAGACGAAGAAGGTAAGCCGTCATCCCTTCCTTTTCGTGATTGAATCAATGCTTACACTGCTGCCAGTTCGTCATCAACGCCTCGCAGCCCGCCAGCGACAAGATCTTCGACACCGCTGCCTTCGAGAAGTTCCTTCAGGACAAGATCAAGGTCGAGGGCCGCGTCGGCAACCTCGGTGACACCATCACCATCCAGCAGATCGGCGATGGCAAGGTCGAGATCACTGCCCACAACGAGCTCTCTGGTCGCTACCTCAAGTACCTGTTCGTGCCGCCTTCCATCCCTCGTCAGATCACAATGTCACATGCTGGACATCAAGCTAACGTAATATCCGCCTGCAGCACCAAGAAGTTCTTGAAGAAGATGCAGCTCCGTGACTGGCTGCGTGTTGTCTCTACCTCCAAGGGAGTGTACGAGCTCAAGTTCTTCAACGTCGTTAACGACGAGGCTGAGGATGACGACGAGTAATCGAGTAAAATATGTACACCATGAAATAACCAAAAAGGTGGAATGGGGGATAGATGCATGTCTATAGGCGCATAGGATTCATATAAGACATCTGCGAACATCCAACGTCACAAAATACACTCAAACTCCAAGCAAAATTCTTCCTGATATTTGATATTTCTAACGTGACTATGTACCGTTTTTACCCCTGTGGACTCCTATGACACTGATATACATTGTTTTCCCGTGCAGGAATCTCAAGTCTAGTCTATGTATCTATATTTCTCTTATGGTAAAGCTCTCATAACGCCCTCAAATGCTACCAAGGCCATGGCATTCGCAGGGAATGCTCTCAAAAAGCATGGTATGAAACCCCTCCAATACCCTTTCGCACCGCCTTCGCGGTACACGGCGCGCGCAGCCTCCCACCAATTCTTAAACTGCGGCGTCCCATCCTTCAGCTTTCCTCCCATTGGGTCCGTCATTATGCGCTGTTTGACCACATCACTAGGATAACTCGTAAGCCAGAACATCTGTGCGCTTAAGCCTCCAGCCCAGAAATTGACGGCCGGTGCTGACAGGCTCGTCCGCTCGTGCAGCAACCGCGATAAGATATCGTACGAACCCCACCAAAAGAAGAAGAACGACCGGAAGATCAAGGTGGCGCCTAAGCCCTTGTATACGCCGCGCACGCCGTGGGCGCCGTAGATCTTGCGCACGCAGTCGATGGGGCCCGAGTACAGCCTCTCCGCCTTGTGCGCCGCGTACTGGATCTGCAGGCGCGCCTTGACGTGCTCGACTGGCGCCGCGATGAAAGAGACTGTGGACCCCGCCATGACGCCTGCTATGCCGTGGCCGAAAGACGGGAGGTGGGCTACGGGGTTGTAGGGAGATGAGTTGTTCGGCACAGTGGTGAGAGGCAGCTTCGGCACGAAGAGGTGCTCCGCGAGCAATCGGCGGTAGATCGTCAGGGAGCCTAGCATGAGAGAATCCATGAATATCCATCCTACTAACGGAGGCGTCGCGCCTTTATACAGTCCTCGCACGCCCTCGTGGCGGAGTGTCTGGGCTACGCATTGTAGAGGGCCGCTGAAGCGTGTTGCGTCGGTCGTCTGGAGGCGGACTTTGATTGTGTCGAAGGGGTGGCCGACTGTAGAGGAAAATTAGTTAGATCATCGTGGTTCCATTTAAATAGTTAAGCAATGCGGCGCAAGAAATAAATCAAAGCTTACCCGACAGCTTGGCGATCCCGGAAAATACACCCGCTACGAAGCCTTTGTAGTTGCTGCTAGCTGGTGCGACGGCCTGCTGCATTTTCTGGTCGGTCGCCATGTTGGCGAGAGCCACATTGGAAAGCTGGCGGCCGATACTTCCAATGAGGGGGGCTCTAGCGACGAGGATCAATCGCCTTCTATGTCGCAAAGAAAGTCATTTGTGAGCTTAGACTTATTATATATATTTTTGTCTTGTTGTTGGTTGGGTAGAGCTCCCGCCCGGTAAATCCGGGGCTTGAGCTTACCTCCGAGATCGGTGGTTATTTCGATTTCGATTTCAAGCGTAGTCTTTCAGCTCGATCGAGAGCAGATCTCAACTACTGCCAATCGTTTTCAAGATTCGTCGTAGCGGCAGCCGACCGCCGAACTGATTCTTTATTTTCAGCATCGAAGTTCACCATTTGTGGGCAATGCAGACCTCGGTCAGGTATCGTTGTGCTGAGAACAGGCTATATGAATCTATTTTGTCCTGGTTTCGCAGCTTGGATTACAGCAACAATGAGACGATTTTAGCTCCGCAAACCCGTTAACTCGTGACTTCATACCTGTAATATGTCGATCTATGGTGGTCCAAATCTAAGCCTAGTGCTATGTGGCCCATACATCTATCAACAGCTTTATCCGTCACACCCAGAGCAAATGACACTCAACTGATCCTAGGGTATGCTACAGGTAACAATTACTATAACCAGGTGAGTTGTTGTCTAGTTATAATTCGAGGATCTAGACCATAGCAGGATGGTCACTCTAAAGGAATGAGGGGTACAACTCACCTAGCGTGGGCGGATCTGAAGCAGATCTTGAGTTCCCTCATGCGGAGTAGCTTGCTGGTACTACTACCTACCAAAAGAAGATGATTCTCCATCTGGTCAACTCCCATCGCCAAGTTTAGGTACCTGAGAGGATGGAGGATGCGAGCTAGTGTAACAAGACAAGCTCTTGACAAGCCAACGGTGACAACGGTCCGATTGGCTTGACTGGCCAACCTATGACCATCGCTGAAGATCAGAGATTCATTTATGGAAGGTTATATTCAAGCTGGTTTTCCTATTCCAGATGACGGCTAGCAAAGCTACTGGCTCGTGGTGGCAGCGTGCTTTGTCTTTCGCAGCCGGTTGGCTACTAGCATCTCGTGCCGGCGATCATTGCTCCCCCGAGAAGGATTCCCGGCCTTGTCAATGCGAAGCTATTCAGGGGTCCGTGGCCATCCATCGCCCATCCCTTTGGTGGCATCAAATGCATGATACTAGACATGGTAACCCTTGATACTTCCAACTTCACCAGTTCTTGCTGGGTCCTAAAGGTCACTGCAATAACAGTAGCTACATCTCGTAACGCCCTGCTACTGCAACGCAGTGCAGATCTTTGCTTCAAATACATGTCGCTATGTTAGCAGGGTAGTCATGGGCCTGCCAAGCGGTCTTGCCGGCGTTGGTGTAAACACCGTCACCAAAGGGATACAAAAGGTGAAAGGCTCCATCTCTTGAACGCTCTTGGATGCTGTGAAGATTTCCAGCTTTCCCAAGCCAGGTGTACGTGCGAGTACAACACCGGTATCACCCAGGCTAGCTACGACAAGGAGCTCACTGATATCGTCCCTGGATTGTACTCCAACTAGGCAAAATGCGGACAACGACTTACTTACCCGTCCTTGGCCTCGCCGCGAGCGCCGCTGCCGCTTGTAATGGAAATGATGCATATTGCGATAGACGGTACAGCGAGATCACCTTTGCTGGGTCGCATAACTCGGGCTTCGTCGGTATTGGACCATCGGATAATCAGCTCACATCGGTTACAGCACAGCTTGACCAAGGCATTCGATTTCTAACAACCCAGACACACGATAAAGACGGTGTCATTCAGATGTGCCACACGGTTAGTAACACGAGCTTAGTTTCTTATTCATAGGGAAATTCTAAGGGGTGGTCCGGGGAGTTGTGGTGTCAGGGGTTATGTGAAAGGCAGTTAGATATCTTCAAGAACAAACGGAATGGTCCTATCGCGTTCACGAATGTCACTAATAGCCCCCGTAGTCATGCGCTCTATTGGATGCTGGTCCTCTTCAAGATTACCTTGGCACCGTGAAGACGTGGGTTGATGGTCATCCGGATGACGTGGTAACACTCCTCATTACGAACGGAGACGCCATTGATATCGTCAAATTCGACGACGCCTTTAAGGCTGTAGGCTTGGACGCGTATACCTTTACGCCTCCAGGTACGCTCGGATTAGATGATTGGCCGACGCTGGGAGACCTGATATCTAGCAACAACCGAGTTATCGTGTTTATGGGTGAGTCTCATGACTGCAGCATGCGTCATCATACCCTTTTCACAACCGGCTAACGAGACAATAGACTACAATTCCGATACTGGGAAAGTCCCATACATCCTCGATGAATTCGCGTACTACTTTGAGACGCCATTTGACCCTCTTGAGGACCAGTTGAGCGGGTGTAACGTTGACCGGCCTGCCGGTGCCTCTGCTGACGGTCGAATGATCCTCGCAAACCACAACAGGAATTACGAAGTCCTCGGGATCAACCTTCCCGACCTCGCCCACGCAGGCGACACCAACTCAGTCGATTCTATCACGGCACAAACGAATACTTGCAATTCAATGCATGGGCGTATCCCCAATGTAGTACTTGTAAGTTCACCTTTCGATCCAATGCCTCAAAAGCTCAAGCTTCATGCTAACTCTGATTGTATAGCTCGATTATGTTTCTATTGGTCAAGTTATCGATGCCCAAAACCAGTTAAATGATGTCTAGGGTCTACATATCTTGTATGATATTTGATTCTATATATATATGAAAGAAACGCTTGTATATATGACACAAATGATGACATGAGTATGATTGATTCATGGCGTACAGCCTCACTTCTGCGTAATTCTTTCGAGGCGTCTTACCACGTACACCGACCGACTGATATCTCGTACCATCACACATGTCTTCAGCAACATTATCCAATCAAAGCTGCGCGAATTGTAAGCGTGTAGGAATAGGTTCATGACTATTTGTTACCTACCCCTGGACACTTTCAGCGCCACGAGCAGGGGGGCATGGTTCGTCGAAATATGCGCCAGCCAAGAGTCTTTGCCGCCCACCATCTGTTCCGCTGCCCACCAATCATAGCTTGCTTTGACAGTTAAGCAGGTAACATTTTGGAGTTTCCCACGACCCTGGAATGACAAGCTATTGATTGGTATTTCATCGCTGCGGACGGGAGGTTGACAACTTCCTATATCTTCAAAATGGAATATTCAGCGTTGCCTAATACATTCTCTATCTTCATTCTTCGCTTATACTTTTAATCATACCGGGTGTATTGCTGGCAGCGCTCTCAACAGCGATTGATCTGCTCGTGATCCTCCCTCTTTTCTCATCTTCAAGATGTGGGCTTCTATGCGCCAGCTGGTTTTGGCTTCATTGACGGGTAGGTGGTTTTGTTTTGGATAACTCCTCGAATAAGAAAGTTGATGTTGTTTTATCTCCATCAAATGAATAACTACCTTTTCTAAAACGAAACTCTTTACTGACACGATATCAGCATTGCCCCTAACAACAATAGCGGCATCATCTTCTATCTTCGTCTCGCCCCAAAAGGACCTAGCTTTCGCCATTAATGTGCCCGACGATGCATCATCCTCAGACTTGTTCTTCTCCCTAGTCTTCCCAGTGCATTCCTCATGGGTCGCTGTAGGACTGGGAGCAGACGCCATGGATGGAAACCCACTGGTATTGATGGGATATCCGTCGAAATCAGGCACCAACGTAACACTATCCCCTCGTCGGTGTTCGGGCCAAAACGAGCCTGTCTACGACTCCGGCATCGACGTAAGAGCGCTGCCGGGGACAGGGTTATTCAATGACACGACCTTTATCTTCAACGGCGTCTGCGGAAACTGCCGCTCATGGTCGCGCGATGGGAGTATTGATGTCTCGAGCACCGCGCAGCGGATGATGTATGCCACGGGTCCTATCGACGACACGCAGAGCGATGACCCGAGAAAATCGGTCAAGTTTCATTCGAGCTACGGTTCGTTTACGATGGATCTGGTCCGTGCTACAGGCGAAGCCGGTGTCCCTGAGATTCCTGCCAACGAGAACGTCACGTCTGTTGGCGCAGTTCTGCTCTCGGCGGAGACAGGGCAGGTGGATAAGAAGGCTATCATCCACGCTGTATTCATGATACTTGCGTTCGTGGGGATATGGCCATTTGGCATATTGGTGCTGCGAGTCGGTGGTTCGCCTCGGTGGCACGCCATCAATCAAGTCGTGGCATTCGGATTTGTCCTTGTCGGGGCCATTCTCGGGTTCACCGTCAGCGTATCTTATAATAGGGTTAGCTACCGTTTCCAACGTCTCGGATGACTCCTTTCGAGGTTGGGCTAAAGCATGAGAATATATCTGCTGACTTTTATATTACAGAGTAAGAAATTCAACGACCCGCACCAGATCATCGGCATCTTGGTCTTCATTTTCAGTATCTCTCAGCTCGTTCTGGGATTCTTACACCATCGCGCATACAAGAAGACGCAGCAGACCACCAAGATGGCACCAATTCACGTGTGGCTCGGGCGCTTCGTCATACTACTCGGCATCGTGAACGGTTTTACGTGAGTACATGCATGTTCCTCTATCACGACACATCTCTAACCTAGTGTAGTGGCTTCCCGCTCGCGTTGTCACCGAATTACAATTTCGCCCTCCTTGGGGTTGTTTTATTTGTGCTGCTGTTTTTCCTGCTTACTCTGGTTGCTGGGAAGATCTTCAGGAAGCTCTTGAAGAAGGCAAAACAGACCGACTTCGACTCTACCAATGGGTATGAAATGGACCCTTGGGGTCGCGGCGCTGAACCGGGAATCCAGCCCCCGGCTGGCCATATGGTAGGGAATCCACGAACGCCTACCCGCATGGGTGCTCCCCCGCAAGGAGCTAGACAATTTGTATAAGCATTATATATCACATGTTTTTATTGGGCTTTTTATGTTTGTGGAGTTAGGATATTTGAGTAGGGTGTCGAATGGTGTTCAAGCGTGGGTTGCATTACTGGCGAGGGTGAACATGCGGGAATGATATTTCAAGTAACGTTGTCAATCGAGGGATCATCCATCCATCCGCGATCCGGCTCTCTACAATGATGCGGCAGGCAGCTGAAGTACCGTATCTTTCTTGTCGCGATGCAGCTATGCACGATATTCAGGCAAAATGAGCGGCGGTCGGGGTAACACGTAGCTGATGGTGATCTCGCCCTATCGTGCCTGTCGATCGGACAGTATATGTGAGCGCAAGGACAAAGATGATTTCCACTTGCCCATTCCCACATCATAAGAGTTCCTTATAACTAGAGAACTTATCTCTTTTTATGAAGACTGAGCTCTGTATATTCTATGTCTCAAGTGGGGTGAGTTATGGTCACAGATGTCCCGATACATCGTCGTAGTATCACTTAGGCTATATGTTCCCGAGTAAGGCTTTCAGAATCGCGCTCAGGGTATCAATTCCGGAAGCAACCTCACGAGTCGCCAACGGCAATGGCAGTGGTGTAGAGAGAACCCAGGTAAAACTTGCGCAGCTGTGCCACATCATACAGGTAGTAACCGCATCACTGTATTAGCTCAGAACCGGAGTATATATCACGAGTGTTATCATGATCCTGCTCGAACATCGATACCTACCTGCAGGATGTGGTAGATTTCCGTAAAGGGGACTTCTCTTCCACTCACATCTCGAGCTTCGATATTGCACCCCCAGTCAGGTGAGCTTAGAGAGCACGCAGCTTAATCTGGGCCGTCTGCAGCATGGAATGATCGAGCTCAGTAGCCAGACCATTTAGTGACCGCCGAGGCTATCGATCGAGGTCTAGGTCCGCTCTCAATCAATATCTCAGTCTGTAAACGAACTCGTCATAGGCAAAATTGCATGCTTCTCCATCGCTACCAGCCTCGGTGTACTTCGCTTCTGGGCACGACCAGTATTGCCAGGTTTTTGGACATGCAATGGTCACTTTGGTATTACGACCATGCCATCGGAATACTATTAATAGTGTACTTAATGATTCTCGATATTGAATATCGAACGAATCCATGTAGCTCGTATATGCCGGAGTATACCAAGGTATAAGCTCCGCGTTGGTGGTACAAAAGCAAGCCCTGCCCCTATCACGACGCACGGCCGTGGCTCAAGGAGATTTCGCACGGAAGGTGTCCAACACTGAAGATTGACCCAGGATGGCTTCGAAAATTGTACGGTTTTGTCTAGTGACGGGATACTTGGCGCTTCGGGCTTCTGCTGCGTGTGCTGTATATGGTGTGGACTATTCTAACGGCGGCTCCTACAACATTGACCCATCTTCTGATGCATCATTCACTTTCACTACGATATTCCAAAGTAAGTGGTTCCAACAGTTTGCTTATTTTAGAGTATGGTGTACTGATGTTCCCAGCTTGTGTCCAGGAATCAATCAAGCCTGTCCTAGTCGACCCTACCGGACACCAGTATACTTGCTCCGCCATCAACACAACACCTGATGGCCAAGAGCAGAAATCGACATGGTGAGGGCTCCCCACGTATCCTAATGTCAGCGTGCATGAAAGCTGAACTTCAAAACAGCGGGATCGCCTACTCTTCCATGTCGTCAGGGCAGTGGAAGATTGTTCTTTCAGGAACCAACGTAGCCGTTCAGAGAGTGATTAATCTGACCCTCGTCTCGCCCTCTACCGTGACCGTAACTGTACGTTGACTTCCACTAGCACTAAATATTGCTTTTAGGGAAGCTGACAGGATAAATGATAGGCTACGCCAACCGTGATTGTGGGAATCACAAGCACACCCAATCCAACAAGTACGCCTCCACTGCTGGCATCTTGAAGTGAATCTCGCTTTCGCTAATGTATAATTCCATAGCCATCTTCTCAACCATAGGGACGCAGACACAAACCCTAATCCTAGCACCCGGGACGGTGACAACGCCGTGCATTGGCTCGACGACAACACTAACAGTCACGCCCACAAAGGCCACTTCCGTGACAGTATCGACAATAGTTCGCACAACGACTGACGCGATCGTCACCAGAGAGTCTACCACGACGGTCGTGAAGACCGCTTACTGTCATTACACGGACGACGGAGGATGGCCAGCACCTCCGCCCAATACAATCTGCGTCGGTTTGGCCTGCGGCTATCCACCTGACTTACCTACCCCGACGATCTGCGTTGGATTTTCTTGTGGCAAGCAAACCGGCACTGTTCCAGACACGCCGACTACAAGCAGTGTGGAGGTTCTCAAGATCCTAGCCACCACGATCACTGTCACGGAGACGACTTATACCGTAACGCAAACGAGTATCACACAGCTTCCGGCGCCAACGGTGACCGAGAGTGGTATGTTACCGACTTATCTCACCCTTTCCTTGAATGTCAAGTGCTAATGTTCTTTCAACAGTCATCAAGATTACCACGGCTACAGTGTACGTTATTTTACTCTCAGATCTCGTCGAAACACAATGTTGCATTCTTGCCCCCATGATACCGTGCATTGGGAATGGTCATTAGTATACTGATTTCAGCCATAGGACTCCTCAACCATCCACTGTCTGCGGCGGCCAAAAGCCCGGCGTTACGATATCGCTCACTCTGCCGCAGGCCACCGTCACGCAGACCAGCCTTTCATATTCGACAAGACACGCTACTGGAACAGTCACAGTTGTGTAAGTCAATTATTCTACCTTTTTTCTTGTATCCTCTCGCCCACTCTCTTACGAGAGAAAGGGTGTGGGGGTACTATTCGGGGAAATAAGAGATCTCGAGGCGTCGTCAAGTAAGAAAAGTCCAGCACTGACCTTTCGCCACAGTTCGACCAAGACTTCAGTGACCACCAACGCCAGGAGTGCTACGAGTTGCTGGCTGAATGGAGGGTGGATGGGGGCTGATTAGGAGGAAGACGAATATGCTTCAAGCTCGTCCACGAATGATAAGGAGACTGCTATTTCCTGCCGCGATCTATAAGTATTACTGGCTGACTGTCTTACGCTCCTTTCTCCGATAATGTGTGTGTAGAACGCTGACTAGGCCGATCATTCACCTCACATATGATTTGAAATGCGTGTCTCTTGATCAAATTCATTCTCAGCGTAGTTATACTATTGTTGCGCCACTTTAAACCTGCTTCACACGCCATTACCGCCGTCTACCCAGCTGTGGACGAGGTCTACATGAAGATCTGACACAGAGAGAGTCCTTCTTTCTCTCCTCCTTCTTTTTCTTCCATTTATTAATAACCTTCCTCTGCCTCCTTCCCAAAGCCATCATCAGCATCATGTTTAACCAATTCATCGCCATTTACCCTTTGTCTTCGTCAAAAGAGTGGACTCGTCTTCTTTTACGTAGACTCCTTCTGGGTGTCGATTCATCATCTAGGGAGAAAGGCGTTTTGTTAGAATTTAGTCGTCTTGACCTAGCGTAATATTTCAAGGTAAAGGGGGGCAGTCTAGCGTACCTGCTACCTTGAATTCCTAATTGTCATCAGCATCGCCGTCGTCGTAGTCTCGGTTGAGAAATGGGTTGTCCGGCTCGAAGTGTCGAACATATGCCTTGACATTTTCATGTAGGACACGCATATCAAGCTTGTCGTAATCGTCATCCCCCAAGATCGTAGAGAATTTTCGTTTAAGCTCGTTGGGGATAGGCTTGGACTTGCTCGAAGTTCCGTTCGACGTGCTCGGCACTTCCATCATCTGCGGCTCGGGCGCACGCGTTTCCGGGGGTTCAGCCTCGGTCATTGGATCTGTCAACTTATCGACCATGTCTTTGTAAAGATCCCAACGACGTTTGAATTCTTCTTCCTCCTTAATCCAGGCCTCCTGGCTTTCTATTGCTGATCTCATCAATGCCTCTATCGCTTTGTCGCGATCATCTATTGTTTCTCCCTGTTTTTCCTTGGCCTTGAGATACTTAGTGAACGTCTCAAGGAGGTTGCATAATTGCCAGAGCACGGTAGCGCCACCCTCAATTGTTCCTTTCAGGTTGAGCCAGTCCTTGAGATCATAATTGAACGCCTTAAGGGTTTTGGTTAATTCAAATGCCATGGCAGCGTGATCCTCGGGCTCTGCATTGCTCGTTTCCGTGGCCTTAAACATCTCATCCACCCGTTTCGTTGTCTTTGCTAGTGTTATCATGGTGCGATCCTCGAAGGGAGGCGATTCTCGTTCCGTTGCAGCCATGTTGTCTGAGGCGTTGGCGATGGTCCGAAGTCTGTAAGGCACTTGCTATGATCTCTGCTAGAAATGATGGTTGGGGATGGTGCAACAGGCGAGTGTACGGATTCTTCATATAATAGTGTATGTGTGCACGTATATATGCCCGTGCATGAATTCTGTCGACACTTGAATAATTGTGTTCAACTTTTCCCGGAGAAGTTATTGTTTTTCTCCAAAACCTTGAGTCAACGTCAGTGTCCTTCCTTGTTGCCTTAGGTGTCTGGTGAACCTTACTTACCTACATATAGATGTATCCAACCATCTCAGTGGCGACCTGTCACCTTGAGGCATCAACATCAATACGTTGAGGGCTGCACCTACCGAATAATATTTCAATATCCAGTGCCTGCTTGTCTCATTTAGGGTCCTTTCCTTATCCTTAGGTTCTGTTGATCGCCTTCACTTCTCGCACGAATCGTCTCGGGTGCCGTTACTTCGAAATGACAAGAACTGAACCATTGGGCCATTGTCTTAATGGTTGATTGCATGTTCGGATGCTTCAGACCAGCAGTACAAGCTTCCATACCTGTTTATATCCCGGCTACAGCACCATATTTCTGATAGCATTTCTACTAATCAAGCTAGCATTAATTAAAGACACAGCAACAGATGCAAGTCCCATCACTAGACTTTCCAGATCTCAGGTTAGCCGGGTTCATACCTACTCCTTCGCGAAACTCTTCGCGATATTAACGAAAAGGCACCCGGCAAGATGACAATGACTACAGACCGAAAATGGATTCATGTAAGATGATAACGTAGTTTAGCTCCGCACGCTTTCATCACAAAGTCGTATGGTCTAATGGTTATGATTTCTCGTTCACATGGTTGAACATTGTCCCGAGAAGGTTCCGTGTTCGATCCACGGTACGACTACGATTACTTTTGCTCATGCAATAATTTGTCATTTTGGAACTGTGACAGTTTTAGGTTTTGCTTGTACCTATGTCCAGCCAAATTGTTAAAGTATCATCCGGACTGGAAATTCCCATCGTAGGAGGGCAGTTGGCTCAAGCGAACATGATGTCATTGGGAAACTGCGAGCCGCGCATACCGAGATGATAATGTCTGGATAACTGGGATGAGTTTATGATTTGGCCTAGTCGGGGGCGAGGGGCTGTGGGTGTAGCGTACTTTTCAAGTGCTTATGCAGGCATCACGTATTACAGACGAGGTAGGATGGCCCCATCTCCAAATCCTTAGATCAAATATTCTGGATTTGATAACAATAGTTCAATAAGACTACAACACATTCCCCGTCAAGAAGACTCAGAATTACCGAGCCTCTTCCCAAAAGCCCAAGTCCCACCAACAACTACACCAATCGTATACCCAATATAGACACCACAGATGATAGTAACAGGCCACTTCTGCCACTCACGATCCCAATCCAGCGGAATCGGCACAGCTCCAAGCCAAGCGCCTACGCCCGCACCAAGTAATCCGCCATACACTTCGTCAATGGGTGCCCTAGCGCTCAAGATCTCCATCCAGTCTTTACTCGAGACGCCACGGGTGTAGAACAATGGGTACAGTCCCAGCAGCGATATATGGAAGGCGCAGAGGAACGTGTGGGGGAAATGCGTCAGGAACGGGGCACCGAAGAGCACGAGAAGTACGTGCAGGACGCCGGCGGAAACGATGGTTAATACGAAGGATACGAGACTTGTCTATATTTGGTTTGTATGTGTTAGCTTCGGGGGCAAATTCAAGTGATAATTGATCCGAACAAAGAACATCTTGACATACCACAGCGACATTTGGCCCATCATCCTCCGCGCCGGCCTTCTTCTTCTCGCCAGGCCGTGGTTTTTTGTGCTCCTTTGCGCCAGCGGCGGGCAGGCCAAAGATTGTATAGATGATTTGTAGCATTATAATCTCTTGCAGCATGGTCGACATGGTCCGCACGGGGTCTGTTACGAGCCCGCGGAAGCGATAGACCAAGGAAGCAATGGGCATCGCCATGTGCACATGACGTGGGGGGAGCGTGTGATCAGACGGTAGCGTTTGGATAGGTTGTGATCTTGTTGGGGATTCGGTCTCGCTCGTCTTCGCCGGCTCTTGGGCATTGGCTACGGCCTTTCTTAAGGCTTCCGACATGGTGGGGAGCTCGCTTTGCGCAGTTTTCTGTTATGCGAAGTGGTTTGACAGGGTGTAGTGAGAATGCCACAGTTGAGGCAAGCCAGTGCAGACGTATGTATATATGTGTGTGAGCTATTCAGTGAGTTGGTGAATTTCGTTTGGATAAGGTTTTGTTTCGAAAGTTTCGACATTGAGAAATAAGGTGATGAATGCTTCTAAAGACGCGCATGAGAACTTCAGAGGCAGTTACAGGACCCTGAAGCTCTAAAGCTCACTGGTTTCGGTAAGTTGCATTATCGATAACAGATAAGCAGATAAAGAGGAGCTCTCCCACCAGCCCACCTTTCAGCCAGAAAGGTGACAACAGAGCACTACACTTCACAAGCGCATCAACATAGATTAATAACTTGATATATCAGTTGATAAAGTATTGGCCTTAGCTGAATACTTTTAATTGGTATTGTTCCTAATCTTGACTAACAATTGTGGCTATTTTTGCATAACCTTCAACAATCATAGTGTTTAATAGCTCCCATTACAGTCCATAACATTCATAAGTGTCCTTTGCGGCATAACATAATGTAAACCTAAGAGAGAGAATGCTAATGGGGATATATAGTTTTGTAGCACCTGAGTAGAGGATCAAGCGGTTGTAGCTGGGAGGAGGTTCCGTAGCGCCAGGTCGTAGATGACATCCTCTACCTTCTTGACGTGATACTTGACAGCGTCCACGCGCTTCCGTACTATGTCGTTCTTGAGGTTGAGGAGCTGGAAGCCAGCGAAGAGGTCCTTGATGAACTTGCTGATGCTCAACGTCAATGAGACATCCCCCATAGTGACCGAGTTCATGGCAAGACGGCTGAGCTCATCGGTGATATCGGTGAGCGCCAGCAGATACTCTTCGATGGTTATGTGAAAGGTATCTCGGTCCTTGACATTGACAGGTACTGGAATATGATTATGTTAATGCACAGATCTGTGAATGTCCGTATGCACTGTCTGCCAGTGTCTTTATGTTACTTCCACGTACCTTTAAGGATCTCTCCAACCTCCTCAATTGTCAGAAGGCGACCGAGTTCACCAGCACGTGCCTCACTGCCCATACCACCGAGCCAGGCTGTGAGGAGGATGGTGGCAACTACATTCTGAATGCTGCGGGACCATCTGTGGTTGTATCTGCTCGAGAGTCAGAATCCATGACTTGTGGGCAGCTCTCTATACAGGGAATGATCATACTTATAGTACGGAAATTGGGAACTGAATTGAGCAAGCTCTCCTACACTCTCAATCTCGGGCTGGATGCCAGACTCCTCAATGGTCTTGAGCAATGCTGGAACTAATCGGAGCCCGTTAGCAAACAGAGAATGGCAGAGGAAACCTTGTCGCAAACACCATTCCTACCTACAGTTCGAGCTGGGTGTGGATTGGATGCGGCTGAGGAGGCCTTGGCAAGTCGAGATGTTCCGATTCAGAGCCGCAGTGATGTTGTGAAGCTTGTCGCCGACCAGGATCTCCTCTTCGCCGTGAGCTTTCAGGTACTCGAAAATGGCAGGGTCAATCATGCCAGAGGGGTTGGCGGAACTGTTGCCAAAACTTGCCATGCTGGGCAATCTACTCGGACAGATAAAACTTGGACAATATAAAATATAGTCGCGCTAATCGGATGGTAGTATATAAGTTGGTGTACAAGATTGTGGTGGCTGCTTTAATATTAGGTACGAAGGAGGAGGAGGAAAGAAACAAAGTGACTGCAAAAGTTGGGATGTAGAAGTGTTAGGCGTGGAAATTTAAGTTACTTGGGTACACACGAGGCTGGTGCTATGGCACGCAAACATCCAGCGACATAAGCGCGGAGGTGGATGTCATTGAACCACACATACTGGCATTGAGTACCTGTTCTTCTCGTGACGAAATATCCGCAATTTTACAGCAGCACACTCTAGATATAAGCGCACTCTGGCATTCAATACAGCTGTCATCCAAACTGTATAGCAAACGATGTGCGTCTCTCAGAGCACACTTTCTCACTCAAACGCAAACAACGGCGGTTTGTCCGCAATGTACCAACATCCCATAGCACTCAACAATCACGTTTGCATGTATCCCTTCTTCACATCTACAGGCACGCTGTAGATTGCAATGAAAAGATGTTTGCGTCGCCTGGAGGCAGTGTAATACCAGGGACACGGTGGGGGCAATCATGCGCAAGCACAGAGGACCACTCCCGGAAGTTAAAAATTAGAATAATCACGATTGAGTCCAAGTAGGACTCTTTCAGAGATTAAACTGAAAAGAACAGATACTACACTTGATCTAAGCCAAAAGGCAAAGAGAGCTAAAGAAGAAAGGAAGAAAAGTCTAAAAGCTGGGAGGAAGGGCAGGGTTTTATAGGCAGGCAGGAGGGTGGCCTAGAGCGGTGAAAGGCGGCAGAAATCAAGTACATACATACATGTAGGTACATGGTTACCGAGTTACATATATACATACAACTGAATATTCATGATGGCAATCATCAGTCCTACAACTCATCACCACATATGGATGTACACATATATCAAGGATTATAATAGTAGCACGATCTCAAATTGTCTCTAATATCAATATTTTCTAGGCTCCCATGATCTATGGACTACCATGAAGCAGACTACCTACCTATATAGTACAATGAATGGCGTGGTCCTGCTATTGAGCCGCGATTGATACAGGAGGGCAATGTATGAGTTCTGCGACTAAGTCTCGGATCCTTTGATCAGTTTCATTCTCGACGTTGAATCTAGGTCGTTTATTCTGTGCCATTTCGTTTTTATTGACTGCAAGATAATAACTTGGATCTCTACGCCGCACCATCCGCCGAACAAAGTCGTGGAGCTCAACTATCCTCGGACGGCGCTGGTAATCGACGGCCATACAAGCCGCAACTAGAATCTTCAGCGGGTCCTCGACCGCATAACATTCGGGGATCGGTGCGAGAAGTTCGACGGCAATCGTCTCAAAAGTATCTTGCGAAAATGGGGATTTGATAGCCACCTTTTCTTCCCTTTCAGGAACCAGTTTCAATGTAAGTTGATCCCATTGACCTGGCAATATCAAGATCGCCATCACTTTTCCGATATCAAATAAATTCCTGTTATGGAGACAATTGCATACATTAGTATGTTTCTTTTTCAGAGTGCATCCTTTCCCAACCTCGACAAAATCAGAGCGAACGAAAGGACGTCTTCCGGGCTCCTCGACAATCCATCTTATGGGCATGCCTCAATATACACACTCATCCGAAACGGGCCGTTTACAGACATAACCAACAAAACAAGAGCAGGGGAGACGACCAAACAAAGGGAGAAAATGAGCCACACACCTAGCAATTGCTTCAGGGTTATGGGCGCTAAAACTTAAGTTAGCGTGCATTGCAACTGGAATTAGAAGGTCGGGCGAGCAGAATATACGACGAAAAGGCCCAAAGTCTACATGAACTTACAGATCAGCCACCCTGGTTTCACCTTCATCGTTATCCTCAGTGGCCGCAGCCAGATCTATTAGCTTCAAGACAGGCAGGAAAGAATTACAATGTGTATCGCTGCCGAACATGACTTGCTTCTGATATCAGTTGCCTCGCAACTAAACACCAGTCTTTCGCGGCGCACTTACGATTCCCCTCGTGAAGATCACCATGCTCAATATACTCGAATACCTTCTCAGACAGGCATTCCTCTGGCTCATCATTTCCATCCTGGTCAGGCCAGGCCATTGCAATTTCCATTTTAAGGACTAAACCCAGGAGTCAACACGCGAAGTGATTGTTGTATCATGTGGTTCGAGACATACGGCAATAAAACAAACCCCATAGGACCCTATTCGGTAAGAAGGCGGTTCCTGGTTGTGCTTTACACTTCGCGTTAAGCCTCTCTAGAAGATGTGTGAGTGATCCATTTTCTAGATATTCCTCCATGAGCCATTCCTTGTCATAAAAAACATGCTTGTCTCTCAATGGCGGCCGAGTTGTGATGAGAGGGTTATTATGAACAGCGACAAGATTCACTACGTGTTGGCAATTTTCCATTCGCTAGTAAATTCATTATCAATTCGGCTGAAACGATCATGATAGAATAAAGGAATACAGTACCTCGAGATACTCAGTTTCTTTCGCGCAATTGTTTTCCGCGGCCTCAGTACCACCACTAAGGACCCAATCACTTCCAAAGAAATACTGCTCAACTAAAGACAGAGTTTCAGTATAAGATCTGCCAAAAAGAAACCCTCCCCTCCTACTGAACATGTGCTGATCAGGAGACATAATCTCAATACGCACCGACGAGTCTGTCTATTTTTAATACGATTCGACGACTGTGTAGTTGGGGAGGGGTAACGATACCCCCCAAAGGACTACGGCTTCTGTCCCTTCTGCCGTATGGGCGTGCTCTGGCCCGGCCCTGGTTGTCTTCTCGGGGCCGGTTCGGGCTAGACCGGGGCGGGCTTGGAGGAGGTATGATTTTTCCCAACAGTTGCTCATCCGTAAGTCCATCTAATTGATCCTGGGCAGGACTTCGCGCACCACGTGGGCTCGGGGTATTATAAGGCGAAAGAGAGCGGGCACGATCTCTATCTCTAATCGCGCCGTAACCTATTTTTTCACGGATAAGGAACTAAAGCAGGGATTAAAAAAAACACCGGTTAGTTCTTTTCTCGTACTTGGCACAACCTTGAAGGGATCACGCTGCTGCTGATCAACCCCACCCAACACATCCTACAAGACGGAGCGGGTAATGAACGGAACTAATTCTCCTTACTGTCAATCCGTCGGTGCCCTTGCCGAGGAATCTCTCGAATATGAATTCAGTGGCTGGATTGAAATATTTCTTCACGACCTCATCGGTAAAGGTGTGAATGTCTGCATCCGTCAATCCTGATATGTGATCGTTGAAATCATCATGGCCACCCGCCATTATTCTAATGAGGTCGGGGAAATGAATAGAAATATAATCGAATATATCTATCGCATCTCAATTTTATTCAAAATGTAGTTATGTAACTGGGATTATTGACTATATTACCTTGAGATGAGACACCTCTTGCCCGGAAAGGGTCTTACTCCGAGGCTCAAAGATGCAAACGGCAGGACTAAACTCCCCGACAGACACGTTTTGCAAGCACAAAGAGACCTCCCCCTCTCACCGTGTGCATACTTGGCAACATGAAATTATTCTCCTCTAAGCGCAGTTCACCACAAATAATTTTGTGCACATATTGATATTAGGATATTTAGGAGTCGCGACATGAGATGTGAACTATCTTACTACATGACAGCAACTGTCTATAAGTCCCATCAGGTAGGTTTGACACATAGAACTTGCTTATAATACCTAGTTCATGCTCGGCTGGAGTTCGGCAGAACCTCAGAAGTTAATCACTCGTCTGTCTCTGCTCAATCTCAATGTGAATCGACGTATCTCGCCCTCCGTCCTCCGTTCAGCCGATGCCCTCTCCACGTCCCTTAGACGCCAGGAAATCTGTCTTGCAGATTTAATCGGAGCAGCCAGGCTTGACCTCGGTGTCCGACTAGGAACAGAACCATCGCACCGAAAGGATTCACGCACGCGCACCTCGCCAGGTCACGGTGGGCTCCGTCTGGCGATGCTCTCAGGCGTCTCGATTAGATCGGCCTCGAGGCTGTTCTCCTGATCGGGGTCGAAGGCATACGTGCGTCGCTCGACGTTTCTGAAGAAAACATCATTCTTGGTCAGAGACCAGAGATATTGCCCATGCGTGACGACCACGATGTCGACGTCTTCATCTCCGTATTTCCGAGCCATGGAGCGGATGAATGCCCTCGTGTCTCGCGCGCGTTCCTCGACGAATTCAGGCGCGTTCCGGCTCTTCCAGCGCTTCACCATCCAGTCTGGCGTGAGGAGGTCGTAGTCTAGAATGGCACCGAATTTGTCCTCTAGATACTCCCGAGAATTGCCTGTGTCCGCCGGCGAGACACCGATTTCTTGCAAGTCTGGCACAAGAACTATCTTCTTGCCTGAAGCTGTGTATGCAGGAAAGACGGCGAGGGCGGTTTGAATTGCGCGTTGAAGGGGCGAGGCGAGGATCACGGCGGTTTTGTCTCCTAGGTCTCTGAGTTCCGCGGCCGCTGTCTTGCATTGCTCGTGGCCCAACTCTGTCAATTCAGGATCGGGAAGGCTAAAGTCCTGATGGACATTGTGCAGCGCCTGTGCATGTCGAATGACGTGGATGATCGCTGGCATGGTGTGCGACGTTGATGGTAGATGGCAAGCTCGATCTGATGTTGGATTTACTGAATATTAAGGAATCCTCAGATCCTGACGTTCGTGACTCCTCTTGCCCAAATATCTAGCTCAATGTATATCCAATGACGCCTTTCGAGCCCTGAGCTGTATTGATTGACATATTTTATAATAGGGAAAATTGTATCTCAGTTTTCTAGCCGATTGTTTGTATATTACACAGGCCACGCCAATGTCCACTCTGTAGTACGGGGCGCGCCAATAGTCCTATGCCCGAGAAATTGTGTTTGCTAACCCAAGGTAAATGCTAAACAAAGCGAGTATCAAGTCCTCAATGGCTCCAATGATCCCAAATGATTGGGTTCAGCGTTTTGTAGGACGCCCGCGCTAACTTCGTGCATACCCAAAGCCAATAGAGACTAGTAGGCAAAGGCGACGACATTGTACACAATAAGAATAAACCAAAAACTATGTGAAACCTTCCAGAAGCCCTTTTGAAGTGACGTGGTGTGAAGGTCGTAGTGATCGGGGATGGAATGAGTTAGCTCAGGAGTTCAGAGTCGGTCAAAAGGCGTGGAGTAGGCTGTACTCAGGGGTAAGAGAGAAGACAAAAAGGATTGAGAAGGTTCAGTGCAATCTAGTGACATGTACAATTAGAGATTTGAGTATACCTTACTCTACCAATTCCACCATATTCATTGGCCGTATCTATGATCATTCATTCTATTATACGTTCTTCAATCGACATGTTCTCTCACAGAGGGTGCTTGTTGCTTCTAGTATTGTGAATTGTTATCTAGTTCTAGGAGCAAGAACGATGAAGTAGCTGTTGTGTTGCTGTCTTTCATTCTACTGCTGGATAATTATTCAGTCCATTCTTAATATCGAACTGAAAGGAAGTGGTGAAAGTGGCAACTATCACCTAGAGATAAGGAGATCAATATAGCCTTGAGAACGGAGATTTGAGTAGACCTCGTTACACTATTCTAGGATATATGATTTATGTGCCATGATGAGTTGCTCTAATTTGCAGAGAGAAATGACCTTGCAGGAACAACGTGCCTTAAATGGCTGGAATTGGGATCTTGCCGCCTCTGGGTCGGTGATAAATTTCCAATTCCTTCACCGCGGTTATCATGGAATAGGAGTAGTCAGCCTTGATCTCTAGAGGGCAAGTCCAGCCTCGCAGGAGATACAGTAAGACACTTGCGACTTGGCTATAGAGTGGAATGGATACGGAAGAGTTTGATTAGAGGCTCAGCCAAGCTGAAGGAATTCGTGCTATGGTTGTGAACATGGGCTTGACATTGTTGGGCTTGCAAAGCTGCCAGGATAGACCTGTATACTGCGATGAAGGATTTGCGATCATTTTCCTCCAAGGTGTGAAATACCGAGAGCATAGCCCGTTGTACACGACGGGACTAGTGTCGAGTCGTCATCCGGGGCAAGGTAACGGCCCATTGCACACAGCCCTTTACTTTTTGAATGAGCATGACCTCCGAGGCGCTGGTTATGCAACATTTGCTGTCAACGCATCTCACAAAGAGGGGTCCAAGTCGAGCTTTGACGTCTTACGGGCTCGTCACTTGCGAGAGAAGTATATTTGTAATATTATACCTGGGTATCGCATAGTAAGAAGGGTAGATGCCACCAACACTTGCTCCATATGCAAGTAGAGATGCACGAAAACGGCCCAGCCATGAAACACGAAACAAGTTTCAACATAGATAGTCCTGCTGTGGCAGTATTCTAGAATGACCCAACGCCCCAACGTCCCAAAGGGTCTCAATTAAGACCCCTGCTCGTTCTTGAGCTTAATGACAATGCACTATACCTACGGCCATCAATGCAGCCGATTGCGCACGGCGGCGAATCTGGAAAGTCGATCCGGACCGAGCCGGGCCGTCTAAAGAGCTTGCATTGTGGTGTCCAAGCATGCAGCCGCAATTGCGTACGATGCCCAGCACGTGATGACACGTGTACACGAGCAAAAAGACACCGGATGTTGGAGAAGTTGAGAGGTGTTGGAGGTCAGATGTTGGATGCTGGGCGATGACTGATGTGTTGAGAGGCCCCGATGGCTTCGTTAAGTAAGTTACTAGCAAAGGAAGACCTGTCTCTGGAATCTGAGCACTGGGTCTCGTTCTGTCGCGGCGTCCTTGCTGCCTGCTGTCTGCTGCTACTACTGCAGAGCACAGACTCAGCTTATTATATCAGGATAAGTAGACGTGCTGAGGCGCCTCCATTTCTTTTTCCTTCTCTCTTCTTTTTTTTGTTGGGGTGGAATCCGGCGATTCTAAGAGCATCTACCTGGAGACGAAAATGGCTGTCTCGCATGATGTCAACGCGGCGCGCGGAGACTTCCGGCGTTGAATGCCCATTGCCCAATGCATGCTCTTGGGCTCCCTAGCTTCGACAGTGCATCCTGGGTTGAAATTATCAATCATCAATCAAAGCAATCCATCAATCACCGTGCTGCTAGGCTATAATTCAGCCACCATTGGCCCTATCCGTCGCCGGCCTGCGGTGTGATGAGACCCGACTCCTTGCCAGCTGACCTCACAACTGAAGACGAAGATGGCGATCCTGTAGCGAATCATTTTGTTTGGACCTCTCGTAGAGAAGCACGCTCGCGACGGACTCGCGCATTCACCGGAGGGTGTCGCGAATAATGCAGCGCTTTCGTGATAGGTTGTTCCCCCGCGCTCGCGCAAACCAGACCCTTACCTAGAGATGTTTGTGCTTTTGCCAAGACATTCATTTGGTGGAGAGGTGCAGTGGTGGGCTGGAACATTGGCCCGGTTTGCTAGTATACGGACGATGGATCTTGTCCGGTCCGGAGAGTACGGGCACTGCTGCTGTGCCATATGATCGATCTTGCAGGACACGTTCGACTTGGTTACAGCATGCATGTTGGAGCAAAAACGCCGTGCAGCTCTTGGACAAGTTTGCTTGCAGACGAAGTTTGGTGAGGGAACGCAAGGAGTTGCTTCACTTCAATCCTACACCTACCCGTACATCTCATGTCGGTGCTACTGGCTTCACACGCCATTAGCCTATCCGCCTTGAAGCCTATCGCAATCTCTCTGCAACCCAATGTTAGACAGTATCCATGGTGCTACGGTGAAATGTGTCACACGAGAGACGTTTCCGATCTTCATAGACTCAGTATTATGATGGAGTGTCATCGTGAGTAAGAACAACACATCCTCACAGTCTCAACAATTTGGTCTATCTACTATAAAATTCTAAGAATCGAAGCAACGTGTAACCAAGAGGGGGTGTGCATGCAGTCTAAAGCAGCCGGCAAGGGACACAAACGACAGCTCAACGCCACCAACGCAGCTGGCATTGCCTGCGATTAAAGATAGACACCCTCGACTGTTTCGACGTGTCGGTGACTAAATTAGTGGATGGACAGGGGTGACTACGACTCATCACAGAGTGTGATTAGAGGGTGCTGAGGTTTGAAAGGTTTGAACAGGACTAATCCGACACCAGCCGCTTCACTTTTGGCAATGGACCCGATGAGAGACACGCTAGAGCCAGGTCAGAAGCAAGGAGAAGAACGACGATCGGACCCTGGGTGGGAAGGGTAATAATAGGTAAGCGAGGGAGGGGGAGAGTTGCGCAGGACGTTGGGCTCATGGCAATGTTGGGGAATTCGATCGGCCGGGCAGGATCCCACGCGATATGTCTGCCCAGGCGTGTGGATCGCCAGGGAGTGTACCTGTTCGCTGGCGATGACTGGTGCTCTGGGCCCGTTCCTGTACTTTTGCTGGCTTCGTTGGCGCAACTAGTGGTGAGTTCGTCCCGGGATTCGCGTTGGTCCCCAACATGTCCCTCCCTGTTCGAGCATAGTAGCGCAGAGGGAGTGCTCAGGTGCTCAGTGCCTCTTTAAGACGGACGGCGCCCTCATCGTGGGGGAGGGCATATCGCAGCGAGCTGGTCAGGCGCCATTTGGGCGATTTGGAGCATTTGGGGCATCTGGGGCATCTGAGGGGACGAGGCCTTTGTAAGTCGTGGGCGGCGGGCTGTGAGTCGCGAATCGACTGCGCAAAGTTCCACCTCGCCGTCACCTCGCAAGTGCGCCTGGCAGCTGTTAAGGCTCGGGGCTAGCGCTAAGTCGTCGAGGCACGAGCGTAGACTGGGGGAACGTGGCAGTCTTATATGGAGCAGAGGAGGAACTGGGATTTGGCGGCAATGTCGCGCGTGTTTCGTGTCAATGTCGCGTGCGGGAGCTGCAGCGCTCTGCAGCGCTCGGCACATCTTCCAGTGGATGCCAGCCACTGATCTTCAGGCCCTGTAGCTGCTATTGGCTGCGCACACAGCGGGGCTCTCGGTGCCCCGGTCAGCACCCCGGCCATCACCCCCCGCTCGAGCAAGCGGTCATGGATCCCGGTCTTTCTCCTCCTCTTCTCAGAGCTCTTCTCTCCCCTCTTCTGCCCTCTCTCCCAGTCTGTCCCAATCAATTCCCCCAGTCATCCCAGTCGGCCCACCACGTCCAACCACACAATGCTGCCGATTCTCTGCTTCTCTGCGTTCGCTCCTCCATTCAGACCCATCCCTTCGTCTCTCTCCGCTGCCATTGAGCCGTCCTGACTGGCTGACAGCGCGGCCGCAGTGAGACGGGGCGCAACCCGACTGCATGCCCAGCCATGCAAGTGGCCTCGACCTGGCCACTCATCGCGCATATCACGGTCACTTCTAGTCCGTCGCGTCTGCCAACTAGCGCTTCTCTGCGCTTCTCTGTCCTATACACTTACATGGCGACTTGCAGATTTTACCGTGGCCCATCACGAGAATGACTCATCCGCCAACCATCTTCGACTTGTGCGACTTTTCTGAGGATGGGCGACGATTGAGTGTGCTGAGCTCCGCGCGAGGGAGGGGCTGGTCGACAGGTGTGATTGTGAATGGGTATAACATGGTCCTCGGCCATGGGCAGGCCGTCGGGCAGCGACCATTTCCTCTTTCTTTCGAAATATCAGGCCTTGAATGTTGAGTCAATCCGGGGTTGACAACTCATCGCCTAGCTAGTCGGTGATTCACTCGAACAGTCAATCGTACTATCGCCCTGACACGTCTGTCTGTCCGTCTCTCTGTCTCCCCATCACTCCATCACTACAGGCCCCGGGCTCGACTGCATCACAAGGCATGAGCATGGCATGAACTGCGAATAACCTCATCCTAAGCGCCCGCCTCCCTGCACCGTAGCCCTTTTAGTCGTTTGTTTATTTATTTATATCCCCGTTCTGCGCGGAGCTCTCTGTAACTGCCCTGCATCTCCCGCTACCAGACAGAATCAGTCTTGATCTGCAAAGCTGCTGTTGTTGCTGCTCCTGCGATAAGCGCATATCCACTCTCGCAACTCATACCACGCCCTCCATATTCTTATATCACAACGACATGCGACAGCTATGGCACCTGGACCGCAATTGTTCTATTGCCTCTGGCAGGACAGCCGAATCCGCGAGACTCTATTCGAAGCACTATCCAATGATGACATTGGCAACATACGCCTGGCCAGCTCGGCATGCTGCAACCTGGTCACTAAACGATTATTCCTACGAACCCACTTGACCTTCTCGGCCACCAGCTTCACTCGACTAGCTAAGGTTCAGGCCCTTTCAAGGATAGGTCACCATATCGAGCATTTAACTTTCTATTTTCCTCATTCAAATGCTACCTTCTTACCGCCCCTCATCCACCCTGAGAGTGGCCGGGAGATCAGTTTCCTATACACGCCCCATACCTCAATGGGATCCGTGTTAGAGAGACCCAAGTTTGCTAACGAGGGTCTGGGTGAGATCTTGACCTCGCAATATCCGCCCCTATTTCACGCGGCCTCTAATGTGCCGTCCTTTATCAATGCGATGAAACACCTGGTCAATATCAGGCATCTCACAATTAAAACGCCGGGCCAAGATCCCAAAGAACGCTATCGACGAGACATTGTAGACTATGCCCTCATCAGTCTTCGCGTAGCTCTCGAGCGGGCGCCTATGAAGAAGCTCAATAAGCTGTCTCTATCTGTGCACCCCTCAGCATTCCTGTATTTACGCCCCACACAAGGTTTCGGCTGCTTGCCGTCCGCAGGTCGACGATGGAAGCAGATCCGGAAAATGCACATCAATGTAGACTCATGGGACTTTTATGGCCCGTCCCCTGGTCTCGATAATCTCAAGATAATCCAAGACTTTTTGTACAATCACTCCACAAACCTTGAAAAACTGTCCTTTACCTGGCACGGCCGCAAAGGCCCTTGCCCAATCGCGCTTGCGGCCGATCCTCTATTCGCGCCGCCACGGAACTCACTGAAATTGTTCCGTGAGGTCACTTCGCCCATGTCGCCTCTACCACCAGCACCGCCGAGAAAACCAGTAGTTTTCCGCAAGTTGCGTTACCTGGCGGTGCGGAACGCGACCATGAATGCGGCGCAAGTGGCCGACATAGTCACATCGCACCAGCATTGTGTGCGTGAATTCGACTTTGAAAACTCTGTACTTGTTGGTGACGGAAGCTGGGATGAGGCGCTTGCGCCATTGATGAATAGCAACTCACATAGTGGCTATTGGACCCGTCACTCGATGGCTACTGTTACTGAAATCACCTGTTTCCGCTCTAGCAGACCACAAGACGTATATGAACCAGAGCCTTCAGCGGCTGTCGCAGCTGCCGCACGACAACTGTATAATATTGATTTAGAAGGTGCAGAGGATGAACTCGACTACTATTATGAGGAGCATCCCGAAGAGTTTGAGGTCGAGCTCGCTTCTGATGTGGAGGCCGCGCGCCAGGCAAGCCTGTCAGCCACTAATAAGATCAAGAAGCGAACGGTCACCAAGCGGCGGCGCAAGCGCAAGCCCGGACATGAACGCTCGCATGAGCGTCGTGACAATAAAGGAGCGGAAAGGCATCATCACCGAGGACGCCATCGCCAGCGGTCTCATGGTTCCCTCGAGGAACCCCACGAGGTGCGCCGTCTCTATTTCCCATGGTTGAAACGGTCGAAGGATTGTGTGGATGAGCATCCGGCGCTTATGCCCCCGGCGCTGATTCAACCCGCCCCCCTCAAACGACAGAATTCAGAAAAATCAACTTCATCTTCATCTTCTCATTCTCATGAACCTCCTCAACTAAGAACACCGCCTCAGCCTCCTTATGCTGGTCTATTTGGAGAGGTGGAGAGTGTATATTCCACCGACTCGCGCCGGCTCTTCGGCGAAGTCACACCTCTGTCACATTCTAGGTCCGGTTCTGAGCCAGACCTCTCACACTCACCCAGCGACGACGCCGATTCGGGTGATGATTACATGCGGCCGCGGACTCCGGCCACCCCAGAAATGAAAATCTCTTCACCCATCCTTGACACGTCGCCTAACATGCCGACGTTATTGCAACCCAAAGTATATGATCCTACAGCAGAGTTATGCTCCGAGATCACAGCCGTCCAACGCGATCTTGAAGCGGACGAGAAACACCGTCTCTTCGCGGAGGATGCGGAAATGCAGACCAGCGCGCTACGACGTGCAAAGGAGCTTGTACTGACGCGCCTCGGCAAAGAGTTTAGTGCCAGCAACTACGGCGCTGGTACTGGCGGCAGGTTAAGCCCCAAGAAGGAAAGCTTTGGTGCGCCAGCGTTTCTTAGCAGCGCCCGTTTCAGAGAGGGCTTATTCGGGAAGAACAATGGCCATACCTACAACAGTACCACCTCTACGATACCAGATCACAGGAGCATGGACGTACCGATTTTATTTAGTCGGGGATGAAGTTATGGATGATGAGGATATTAAAAAAAGGGATCTTAAAACTTGATGATTTGAAATGAGCATACTTACGACTAACGATCATAGCATTCTTCCTTTTGTCTGTCAGATGGCTGGCGTCCTGACTTCCTTTTCATTTGTGTGTTATGATGGGATGAGAGCTGGGCTTCCACGGAACCAATGTACAGGAGGGAGCGCAATGATACCCCTCTTTTTGTTACGAAAAGCTCCAATGGTCATTGGGTTGTACCAGCATCTTCATGTATGGAATTTCGGTGGCACGAACAAGTGGCAGGGTGCAATCCTCTCGGTCATGTGTGACCGACGGCCTGCGTACGGATGAGAAGCCTCCCGAAATTACAGGAATTATTTTAGTATTACTGTAGTCGTGTGCGAATCTAGCGCAACTACTATTACCATAACCTGGACCCTCCGAAAGATATTAGTCCCATGAGCATGCCTTGGTCCCTAGTCAGTAAGGAGCTTCTACCTCTATCCCGCCTACCTCTTGTAGATATCCCCTCGCACAGAGAGGGGATTCTGCGTGTATGTGTAGGAAGATCTCGTAGATCTCTCCCTGCTCATTAGCTGCAATCAGATCGAACGATCTGCTTGTAGGTTCCGAGATGAACATACGCCTCTGCATCTGGTTGGCTGCATGGTAGATCAAAGCCGCCTGCCCAGTTTTCGCAGTTCACCGGCAGACTACTCGCAGCGATGCATTGGCCGACGTACGAATGCAGGGTCTCTGTACTCCAAAGCCGGCCCTCAGCTCACTCCTGTCAAGTTTCTTGAGATCTGCAGAGAAAGTTGGAGCATTTATTCGTCAAATGTGAGGACCTATCGTAGTTAGTTTTCGGGGTGAAACAAGTAATAGCTCACTCAGCAGTTCCCACAGAAAGTTTCGGGATCAAATGGAAGTGGGCGGCGACGTTTCGTTTTATCCTAATCGGGGAGGATGTTTCATTCCGGAAGTTGACAGCCCAGAAGCGAAGGGCAAAAAGGACGCCCAAGCTGGCTTGGCGCGCCGGCAAGCTTTGGAGCCGAGAATTAGTGTAGCCGCTTATGGACACAACTGACATCAGACATCATCTGCGACGGATGCCGCATTGTGCGCCGGCCACGCTCAGCTCGTAGAACTAGGGCTTTAGTGCGTGGACTTTTCCGAGACCTCAGGACGTTCGACGATATGGAGGGTTTCCAAGATAGAAAAGAAAAGGGCGGCAATAATGTCCTCGCTGGCGCGGGACTTCTCTCTCTCCCTCCTTGCTATCAATCTCATCGTGACTGATGAGCTGCCTTAGACTCTACGGTTATACGGGTTTGCTAATTGACGATATCTGGCTCGGGATTGCTGGTCTTAGATATAATAGGCATTTCGGGATGCTCTGAGACCCAGACGCCTATTCAACTCGGGTCTATTACGTGATGGGCGCCATGAATTCTTTCAACACTATCACCTCAGCAATAGGCACAAGCCTTCTACTGTACACCTCATATAAACTCCTCAATACCGCCCGGCTCTATCTACGACCGTCAGGTCTCCATCGATACCGATACACAGATGTCACAGGCCAGCGCCCTTGGGCCTTGGTGACAGGCTCAAGTAGCGGGATCGGGAAGAATCTAGCCTTTGAGCTCGCCGAGCATGGATTCAACATCGTTCTTCACGGTAGAAATCCCAGCAAACTCGAGACTGTGCGGGACGAACTCCACCTTGCTCATCCCGACACCAAGGTCCGGATCATAGTCGCGGATGCTTCGCAATGCCATCGCCCCGACGCCGTAGACTTCGCGCACATACGAGACGAAGTCGCTAGTCTGCATCTTACTGTCCTGATCAATTGCGCCGGGGCTGGCCCCAACCCCGCCTTCGGCGGCCTCGAGAAATACGGACCGCACACTATCATAGACTCACTGCATCTGAACGCCGTGTTCCCGACGCTGCTCACAGCGACTTTGCTGCCTGTGCTACGAGGGCAGTACAGGGATGGAAAACCCACAAGCAACGCGCCGACGCGGCCTCGCCCCGCGCTTATCATTAACATTGGTTCGGTGACAGACGACGGGTTCCCGCTCGTCTCGTTCTACTCGGCGGGCAAATCCGCTGTGCACACGCTGCACAAGGCTATCGCGAGAGAAGCGGCGCTGGACGGCTGGGACGCCGACGTCGAGATCATTTCGCATCGCGTCGGCGCCGTCACGGGCGTTTCACATACACAGGCTGCGCCATCGCTTTTACGACCTGATGCGAGGACCATTGCGAAAGCGATTTTGGCGCGCACGGGGTGCGGGAGGAAATCAGTCGTCCCGTACTGGCCACATGCGGTATTGCAAGTTGTGCTCGCGATCCTGCCTGTATGGCTTGTTGATACGATAATCAATGGGGCAATGAGAGAGGAGAGGAGAGTGCAGGATGAGACGGCGAAGAATGAGTGAGTAATTTTAATTCGATACACATTGCGTACCTATTGATGAGAGAGTGGGCTGTTTAGATGTGGGAGTTGAGAGTTTTCAATGTATATAATTATTTCGATGCTGTATACACATGCTGACCTTGATTCGTTGTACATAGTGTATTGATATAGGCCTAGGTTGTACTTCTAATATTCATGGATGTGGATTCCTCTGCTCGCATGCGCCGCATGACTGCCTACAGCTCCGCAAATACGACGAATTTACCTACCTTGATGCCAGGCAAATGAGTCATCAGTTTCTCGACTCTAAAAGTGGTCTATCGGATACTCAATAAAGGTCCTACACTAGTAGGTAGCGGATATAATTTGGCAATACAGTTGTACCCTAAGAAGAAGAAAAGGAAGGACCCGGATATAACTGGAGGTATAACTTGTTTCCAGGCTTAACATCTGGGTTACATAAGCTTTGAAGGAAAACGTGCCGTTCGAGGCACATCTCCGACTGGACCGTCGGACTAATACTATATTATAATAAGCCTTTCTTAGCGTGCCTACTCCTCATCGGCACTGCACATAGGCGGATTCATAAGAGGGAAGTGATTCGTAGCTGATAACAAACCCTATACCGAGTAGTATACCCCAGTCTGGGTAGTATCACAGCTTTGCGCTTCAACGTGGGGCTAGACTAGATAGGTAACTATGCATCCAAAGCGAAGAAGAGTCGAATTTCTAATTGAACTACTTCATTTACGGCACACTGTAGTTGTGTGTAGGCGTGTGCTATGAGTGGCAAGCTCGTCATTTCAAGTGTCCTTGCCTGTACACCGCTACACTTGACCCCGAGTCTGGAGTCCTACATATAGTCGGTCCTCTTTATCCCGCCCTCCAGGTATCCCCAGACAAGCTTCTCTTTTGCTCCCATTGGCCACTCGATCCATCCCACATACGACCCGCAGCAACCTCATCACCCCCAGTAACCCCGAGTCATACCCGTCCATCGACAATATCGCTCGTTGCGGAGAAAGCTACGCGTCATTGATAAGAGCTACAGAAGATTTGCGGGCTCTTTGGCCGGATCAGGCAGGCACAAAAGATGGAACTTGAAAGCTTGACCGGGAGCCTACCGCAATTAATGCATGTGTGAGGTGAGATGAGGTTGTATGGGTGGAGCTATGGAACGAGATACGAACATGGAGGTGATAGGTATAAAGCCTGCGTAGGGCGCCTGAGTGTCTCTCATACGGTCAATTGGTTGTGCGAGTGTGGATTTGTTTGTTCACCGTCTTGTCGAGCGTGCGAATCTCGGTATTAATTGTCCGTTTCGATACTCATAATACGTACGTTGACCGCGATGCAGCTGATCGCGCCGGCAGCTCTGCTGCTAGGGGCTCTCTTGACATCTGCAAGCTCACTCCCACCGCATGTCGAGGAGCTTCTCAAGAGACAAGTGCCGGCTGAGCCCAAAGATGTCAAAACGATCAAATCGCCGGGGGGCGCCTCAATTCGCTATAAAGAGCCCGGGAAAAGTGGTGTTTGTGAAACCACGCCTGGAGTTAACTCGTACTCGGGCTATGTAGACCTGGATGAGGAAACGCATATGTTCTTCTGGTTCTTTGAATCTAGAAACAACCCCAATGAGTCGCCGATCACTTTATGGCTGAACGGTGGTCCCGGTTCTGATTCGATGATTGGGCTGTTCGAAGGTATGTTATAATTCGATGTCCAATTCTTACCGTCTGAACATGGGCATCTTACTCGCTGTTTCACAGAGCTTGGCCCATGTAGCGTAGCCGCGAATAAGAGCACGTCCATCTTAAATCCATACGCCTGGAATGAAGTCAGCAACATGCTATTTCTCTCACAGCCCATTGGTGTCGGCTTCTCGTACGAAACCAAGGTCGCCGGCGTCATAGATCAGAAGACGGGGCTTCCCCTCAACTCCTCTCACCCAGATGGCCGTTACAGTAACGTTACTGGAACCAGATTCGAAACGACACAACTGGCTGCTGTAGGTACATGGGAGGTTCTACAAGCGTTGCTCGAGGAATTGCCGCGCTTGGACAGCAGAGTCAAGTCACGGAGCTTCAACCTCTGGACCGAGTCGTACGGCGGCCATTACGGGCCGGCTTTCTACAAGTACTTCTATGACCAGAACGAACTTATCAAGAACGGGTCGACCAAGGGCGTCGAGCTCAACATGCACACCCTGGGAATCATTAACGGCATCGTCTCCGCGAGTATCCAGACGCCGTATTACCCCGAGTTCGCTGTGAACAACACGTATGGTATCAAGGCGGTCAATGATACGATCTACAACTTCATGAAGATGAGCTGGGAGTTTCCCGACGGGTGCAGAGATGCCATCAGATCTTGCTCTGAAGGCGACCGCTCGACGCCGGATGGGTTGGCCGTTTGCTCGCAAGCTGTTGGCATGTGCAGGAATCTAGTTGAAGGGCCCTATTAGTAAGTCTAATGCTCGTCGAAAAAGAAGAGAGAGAAAAGGCGGTTCCGATCTATTCAGAAGAGTTAAACGAGTGATGGATGCTAAACGAGACTGCTTAGTGCCGTAAGCGGGAGGAATCCATACGATATCAGGTAAGTACTTGTTTTCTATCCAGTGCTGCAGCAATGCATGTCGCATGCAAAGATAGATTCTTCCAAGCACGAATGGCATTACTAACCCTACTGGTTCCTCGGAATAAGAGCGATGAGCAATGCCGACATACCACCGGAGCCTTGGATTGATTATCTCAACACTGCGAAGATCCAAGATGCTATCGGTGTGGACATCAATTACACTTCCACAAACAGCCCCCAAATCTACTCGGCATTCGATGCCACGGGAGATTGGGTCTACCCTGAGCTGTTGGAAGATCTCGAGGCCGTCTTAGACTACGGAGTCAGAGTCGCAATGGTCTATGGCGATGCTGTGCGTCAATTTCCACCTCTACCTACCTGTTCCCTCCCAGATCTTACTAACTTCATTTGATCACATCAGGACTACATCTGCAACTGGTTCGGTGGCGAAGCGGTTTCTCTCGCGTTAAACTACACTCACAAGGCGGAGTTCTCTGCGGCAGGGTACGCACCCTTCCTCGTCGACGGCGAAGAATTCGGCGAGAGCCGACAGTACGGCAATTTCAGCTTCACGCGCATCTACGAAAGCGGTCATGAGATCCCGTACTACCAGCCCAAGGCGTCGCTCGAGTACTTCCGGCGCATCCTGGGAGATCTCGTCGTCGCAGATGGGACTACGAAGGTCACGGCTACGTTTGCGAGCAATGGGACTGCGAAGGCGACGCATACTGAAACGTATGTAACGTGGTACACAGGGCGCCCGGAAGAGGAGAAATAAGAGAGGTGCCGATCTCTGAGTAACGAGAGGCCTTTTTTTTTTTTTTTTTTGGACTTTCGAGACATTCGACTAGGTACTGAAATTGATCGTACTACCTATCATATACCCATTGTAGGTATAACATGGTAAGCGGCTAGATTATTGTATTATGAATACCAGTAGGTAGCTTTAATTTCCAATCTTGGCTACAGACAGGTATCACGGGTCTATACAAACTTCAAATGACTTGTTCTCGATTAATTAATCTTGTACTTTTATTTTCCTCTGCTCTGCGCTGCGATTTCCTGCTGCTTTTCTGCCACCCGCGGCAAAGGCAAGTGCTGCCGTGGTATGCATGTTCCTGCCAACTCATGTCACACAGAAACAACCCAATCCTTCCCTATCCGCCCAACACCACCCCCTCTCCTCCCCATTCTGCTTCTCGTCTTTCTTCTTCCCCTACCTCTTCTTCCTCGTTGTTTCTCTTCGACGCCAAATGGACCGGAATTGAAATTAAAAAAATGCTGCTGAACACCTTATGATGGGAAGATAAGCCCCCCTTTTCACCAGGACCCCGAACAGCCATTCATAAATACGAAATATTGTACAAGAATTTTCATCTAACACAAAAGAAAAGGGGCAAGGAGAGCGAATGACACGCTATGAGAGCACAAGCAGAAAAAAGATCGAACGCTAGTGAGTGACAGCGCGGAAAAGGAAAAAAGAAAAACCCAACCCCAAAATAGAAGCGCGATCCCTGGTGTATTAGATATTGTCTTTCCCAACAACCGCTCGCCATACGGTATTCAGGCTCCTGATTCTTTCCTCCCTTCCCGACCGGCATATTGATGTTGATAGGTAGCGTCCATCAGTCTACGAGACAAGCTCCCTCTTGCCAATGTCTCGCCTCTTCGTGGGATTCCCATGGTACCTAATCGCACAGTCTCCTTGCTCACTTAGCCTTACTTCGACATCCGATCTCTCCGGCAGACAAGCCACGGCACCCCAGTCCCATATCTCCTCTCTCTGTTCTCACGATCAAACATAACCGACCTTCCCTATAGCACACGGATTGTTGATCCGAGCGCCCTCCCCCCGGGATAGTATAGAAGAGGTTAAGAAGAGAGTGGACTAAGTAACATGTGCGCTCAACACACGGAATCAAATTACGAAATCCCCGATAAGCTTCGTGACGTCACCGCCGGCAGCTTCGACGACTTTAAACGCAAGATCGCTGAGTTGCTTCGCCTTCTCCTTGGCCTCTCTCTCACGTCTCTCTTTGGTTTTGCTCGACCCGCTTGGCGCCACTCCCGTCATCAATACGCTACCGTCGTTCGGCGTAAAATTTACGAAATCAAGACATGCCCTCCCACCACCTCCAGTACCGCTAGGACCGCTGCTACTTGCTGCTCGAGTCGGCGATGCAGCGAATGATGCGGACGACGTCCGTGACTCGCGGCGTGTGAAGGAGCGCTGCTTCCTCATGGTCAGCGATGAGCTGCGATGTTGGCGGCGCTCTTGGTGATTTATGGTATGATGCCCGTTGGAAGGCGCCGGTGCGTGCGCGTGCTTGTGCTGTCGGCTCATCGGGGACGGTGATTGTGATTCTTCGCGGAGATAGCCTAGGCTCATGCTATTACGCAGTTTGCGTGGCGATGTCTGGGCGCCGTGGTGTCGCGCTCCCGATGACGGGGCGCGGGGTCGTGGACGTTTCTCCATATTGCCATATCCTTTACTGCTGCTACCATTGTACTGCATATGGCTTGAGCGCGTCCGCGTCATTGTCGGCGTATGGTAATGTGACGAAGACAGTGTCGGGGTTGTGAGTACGTGCTCGTTGGGGTTAGAGTTCAATACGCTCGCTTGGGGCACTCGAGGCTGCGGCATATGTATCATGAGACCCGAGAGCTCTGCATTATACTCATATGGTATCTCAGCCTGTTGTTTATGCATGGAAAGATTGTGGGCCGCATTGCTGAGGACACCATTCCCGTGGGCTGTGTGGCGATGATGGGTAGGTTCGGCATGCGATGTCTCACCTTTGTGCACCATATCATTCCACCAGCTTGGATTTGGTATACTACCACTTCCGTTGTCGCCTATGTACATGGCAGATGACGAGGATGAAGACCACATACTTGTATCCTCGTTATATCCGACATCGGTTAGGAAGCCCTCCGTTGGCCACTTAGCCGAGCTCGTGCTGCGATACGCCTTCTGCGGATGACGAGCGATATCTATATTCGTGTCCAACGGAGTCATGAGATTGGCTTGCAAAAATGTCTCGCCTTTGACATTTGGTGTGCTCATGGGCGTGTCCATAGGCTGGCGCTTGAGCGAGCGGATGGTGACTGGGGCGTTCACAGGATCATCGCAGAATGGATCTTCAATGTGTCCAGTCACAAACCCCGATGAGCTGCTTTGACGTGCGTTGGGGATCCGGCCCGTTAACGGCGGCGATATCGGTAAACCATGATTATCTATGGGTTCCTGTTTTATGGGTACGGACGAATCCCCAAATTCATGGTAGTTCGAGTCGAAGAAATCGAGACCTGAACGCGCATCATCTAAAAAGATGTCCATGTCCGCCATATCGATGGTCTCAAATTGGCGAGTTTCGGTGGGCGGTAGGTGGTTCGTTGTTCCCCGAATGTTGCCATGAAGGGGGTCAACAAACTGGTTATGCTTGCGTGGACTCGAAGGAGCCGTTACGCTGCCTCGGTGAGGCGATGACTTCAGAGATATACCTTCAAGGCGCAGTAATTCGGAGTCTGATATTGACCCGGTGCTGAGAATAGGGTCTCTGGCCAAAGCTGAGAGTGCTGCTGAATTAGAATTGGCTGGATTTTCTGAAGTAGTCACTCGAGTGTTTGAAATTTGTTGACCGATAGCGGTTGCTGGCGCCTCGGGATGGAACACATCGGCGGGTATATCCAGTGGACACAAAGAGGAGTTCAATCCGCCATGAAGAGATTCCAAGAGAATAGAGGGGCTAGGCGGATCCTCGATGTCACCACCTAATGCTGTAGCATCTTCGATGTCAAAGGTGATAAATTGGTCACAAAAATTATCGCCCGCCATTGTCAGCTCCTCATTGTCCGGCCAGAGGGGGAGCTGGCTCTGATCATTGTCCCGGGGAAAATATACCGCCGCGAAGGCCATGTTGCGGGCGAAAGAGAAAGGTAAGCACAGCTATACGTTGTGGTCAATGAGAAGTGGATAGAAGGAGATCTCCCCCTAGGAGTAACAATATAACAAGGAAAGCTGCTCAAGAGAGAGGTCGAAAAGGTAGGAGGTCGTGCTTGTATCTACTTTCATGTAAGTCAACAAAGTATGAGAGAGCTTGGCACAGCAACGACGCAAATATGGAACCTTGGCCTCGCTAAGGCTGAAGGCATTAAAGATAAGTCATGACAAGTGCCTATAGCAACGAGGCGAACAGTCGGAAATTATCCAGAGGAATGTGGGTTGAGTAGGGACACTGAGTGAGTGCATCAAGTGTGAATCTGGGGGGGATTTGGCGAGAACCCATTCCCGACCTCCCCCGGGGGTCTTATAATAAAGAGAGCAGGATCAAGTACATACATCATCTTTCCCCTTGGCTAAGTGGCTATCCGTCAAGCCACTATACAGACAGACCATGTCCATCCCTCGACCCGATGCCCACACGGCATATTGGAGTGACCTTTCTTCGAGGTCACGGGGAAGGACAAAGAAACGAGGGGAAAGAAAGAAAAGATGGTCGCTCATGAAAGAAAGCACCGGTAGGCTAGCCTGGGCTAGCTCGTTTGTTTGTCTTTCTTGAACTTTGAACTCCCCTTCTCCCCCCGAGTCAATTACTAAGTAACTAGACAGACTGACACTAGCATTGGTACTGAACAATAAACCCCCATACTCAAGTGTGTGGGCGAGTCGAGCGGGTGAGAAGGTGAGACAAAGAGATCTGGAATGCAGAACCGCCGACTAGGAGACGAGTATGGGTGTTTTTTTTACCCCCATATTCTAGAACTTGAGCGATGGAGGAATAAAAAGTAAGCCACCTCGGTGCGAAGTGAAACATCTGACAATCAATCCGTGCTTAGCCGTCTGTTGGATAACTGGGTGCCTGGGCGAACGAAGTAAGAGGATCTACGTCTAACTTAAAAAGCTAATCTCAACATCATCATTGTCATTATCATGTATGAGTTAGTAAATGAACATTTATCACAGTGAAGAAAACATCAGCCCCCCTTTTTTCATTGACCTCATACTCATAATGTAAGTAAGTCAGTAATGTGAGTAAAGTAGATTCTGGCTACTGCCACTTACTTACTTACTTACTTACTTACTTACCCACTCACTCACTCAAAGCCTTTGGGCCGGCTCAGCCGGGTATTCGGAGCCGTCTTTGTTTCTCATAACACTCACCATCACTGGAATCCATAGGATCTGAAGTAGACAAAGCGGTTGGATGAATGTCCACCTACCCACTTCCGGAAACAATGAAAAAAGATAAGAGGGGGGGCAAAAACCATAGTCGCTTTGTCATTGTATGGATACTTTTTTCTTGTATTTTGTAACTACTTGATTTGAATTGATGTATTTGAATGCATCGAGCTAGCTCCGTTGCAGGATTACTTTATATATACTGGATAAATGAGTATATGGCGCTATAATATAGACATGTAGATAGATAGATGGATGGATGGATAGGTTTTGCTAGTTGAAGCGCGTAATAGCGGAACCCGTAGGTAGGTAGGTAGGTAGGTAGCTCGAGCAGAATAACGAGTTTGATTGGACGCGAAACCCCTCGTGGCTCTCTTTCTCGGGGATTTTCTGTATCGTCCTTTATGGTTCGGTTAGGGAAAAAAGAATATTGGGGGGGACGTGGAGGTTCTGCTGTGTCCCTCCTCCGCCTCTGCCCTGCATCTTCAGGGTATCTTGTTCCTTCTTCGTCGTCGTCGTCGTCGTCTTCTCGTAGCTTGTCACAACTAATCGTCTCGATCGTGGCCCCGGTCGATTAAAAAATAAAAAATAAAAAAACACGAACAAAATAGAAAAACAGGATCCGAGAAGGATCTGAAAACCTGTGCCTAAATGCTGCCAACGCCCACTATGATGCAAAAAGGTCTATCCGAGTTTGCCCAATGACCGGTTTGCCCCTTCCAGCTCGCCGGCTGTGATGATGCTATGAGTCTCCGGCCGTAATGGCATGTGCGTATGTCCTTTCCGTTAACGCCTCCCATTCTTGACCCTGGGTATATTGGATATGGGATTCTGAACAAAAGGGAAAAATAAAAGACACAAAGAATTATATATACAAGAATCTCGTGATGGATTAGGCCGTCGTGGAAGGCGGCTGTGTCGTGGGTGTGGAGGATCCGGCTGCCGATGGCGGGTTCGTCCGGCGTCTCCGTCGCATGCGAGGCACGCTCTTCTTCATGTTCTTGCATGATTGCGCTGCCTCGGATGAGGAGCGATACCGTAAAAAGCCGAATTTCCTGATGCCGGCCGGCGTGCTCGCATGACGTAGAGCCAGACTGTCGCTGAGCATCGTGTCCTCGTCCAATTCACTGAAACCCATGTCAATTTCCAGTGGCATGTGGTCGGGTTTTAAATGAGGGTCGATTGGATCCTGTGGTTCGATGTAGCGCATGGATGCGGGAATCGCCGATGACGTCGACATAGATCCAGTTGGGGATGCCGGTGTGGAGTTATGTACATTACACTGTACACCATTTTCGATCATTCCCGTCACAAGGCCTAACATGCGAAGATTCGAGGCGCTCTTGTGAAGGCGCGCGTCGGTAGCCCGGCGGGGGCGCTTGACATCGGTGTTTACGTTGAGAAGGCATTTGTCGTCTGATGGAGCGTCTGGGACCAGACTGTCGAAATGAATGGGACCGGGTGGCTGCAGGGTATCACGTAACTCCGGTATTGTGGAAGGGCACGGATCGCATGCCATGGAAATCTCCGGTATGGGATCTAGCGCGGGAGTGGGCTCCTCGGGCTGGAATTGTTGCATTGGCGTTTGTGTGTAATGCACATTGGACCTGCTGGGTCGCAAATCCCTTGTGTCTTCTACTCGTTCCAACTCTTGGTTCCTTTCCTCCCCATCCACGAAGTGCCATCGTAGCGAGTCTTGGAGAATAGGCCTGCGGTTCAGTCGATGGACCAGCTGGTCAAGATCTTTAGCCACCTCTTCTATGCCATCTAAAAAGATTCTGTCGTGGTCTATTTCGGGTGGAGTCATGGGCGGGTTTGGGCGCAGTTCGAGCGGTTGATGGGACTGCTGATGCACAGAGGCGTCGTGGAGAGGGTGATGATAGAGTGGAGGCTCGTCGGGGGACGCCATGCTCGAGTTGGACTCCTCCCACAAGGAGAACGCCTCGAGCACTCTCTTCTGTGCCCGGGATCGGTGGCGGCGGCCGACAGAACAGGTATTATATGGACCATGTGTGGGAGGTATGCAGCAAGACCGGACTCATACTTGTGTGTAACTGGTATAAGTAGGTGACGTGATACTTGTGTACTTGGCAGGCAGAAGTGAATTGTAGTTGTGCTTGTGTGTCGTATGCGTCTTTCCAAACTCGAGGATCCAGTTTCGACGTTGGAGGTTTCGAGGGTCGAAGGGGGAGGGGTGTGAGTCGAACGAAGTGTCGCCAGGAGGGCCAGAAGAGGAGCTGCTCGACGGCGGTCAGGTCGGGGGGTTTGCTGGGATTTAGTAGGTGTCATTCTCCCAAGAACAGACCCAAGAACAGTCCCGAGAACAGCCCAGAGAACAGCCCAAGAACCAGCAGCAAGGCTTGGCGATTTGACTCGGCTGGACGGGCTAGGATTTGGCTTGGGATTTTGGCTGGGATTCGGCTGGATCTGCCCCCCAAGCCTGCCATCCTAGTCAGAGCTAGTCACTGTCCTAGGAAGCACGCTACCAGCCTTAGTTCGTACGCTAATGCACCTGCAACAGGCCGACGCACGACAGCTTGGAACTTCTCGGCTGGGTAGGTATTTTCTGTGTCTGTTGTTGTTCTATGTCTCTGTGTCTCTGTGTCTCTGTTCTGGCAGTCAGTCCAACGGAGACAGTACGCTTGCGAGCACTTGTACTGCATGTACACTAGCATATAGAAGGGAGGGCCCTGGAATAAGCTGTCGAGACTCTTCCAAGGTTGTTACTTCCTAGGAATGCTGTTAGCCTCGATATCATAAGTACAGTAAAGAACTTACTTACTGTACTGTGTCAGGTAGGTAGGAACATATGCAGAAGATGCACTATTATTGCCTAATAGGCAATGGATTCGCACACTACCTAACGAAGCAGGCAGGCACTGTTACTGTGCTCAGACTGTGGTTGGGTGCTTGCAACAGGTGCCGTATGTACTATGTATCTACTCTGTATCCATAGTACTTACACTTTATACATAAGCGAGCGAACGAGCTACTGCAAGTCATTCCAGATTGAAAGAAGGGTTGTGAGTAAGTAAGCGGTATTTTCTGATTTCAGCATCCAAAGTCAGTGCGTGTATGTTTTTTGGCCATGAAGATCCCTCCAGTGACTACTAGGTAATGAGAGAGTCATGTGTAACACCCATGGCTCCCTCATATCCATATCTCTATTGATTAGGGTATGTGGCAGTGATGATGAGTGAGGCGTGAGGCAGTCAGAAGGCGAACTACAACACCCACCTGTGTATTTCTACGTCTTACAGTTATCCGCATGCAGGTTAGGTTGTCATTGTATCGTGGTACCGAATATAGTTATCCGATGGGACGCATACTTACACTACCTAAGTACGATGCCTCGACCAGCTCAGCTCCCAGCGTTGCCAGTACATAGTACAGTACTTGAGCGATACAGTCCGACTTGGTCTGGCTTGGTGAGATATGAGGGCTAATTAGTAGCACACTTTTGGGTATCCCGGCATGAAATGATCTGGCGAGGGTAGTGTAAGTACCTACCCACCTATATACGTAAGTAAGGTACATACATCGTAAGTGCAACCTGACTGCAGAGGTTCCCGACTGACAGGCGACCCCCCAAATTCCCAGAAGGATGGTTTCTCTTACCAGCCAGGTGGGCCGCAGTGGCATACTGTAGCGTGGTGGGACAGCCTGTCTCTCATTGATCATGTGCGAGGCGTGGATGCAGCGTGGTGTGCACACTAAGATCCCTTCACCCTGGAGGATGGCTGTTCTTTGGGCGTTTTCCGTGTTCAGTGCTCTATTTTGCACAGTATCCGATCTTACATATATATATATATATATATACCCAGAGTAATTCACAGTGAGTACATATGTAGCAAGGTAAGCATGTCCATGGAGATAGGTGGCATACTTAGTTGGGTATTTACGTCAAGTTCATCAATTTCGAGATGTTGTGTGTGTCTGGAGCACATTACATACTCACATAATACCTAAGTAGGTAGCATGTATGGTATGTTTATAGGTCGTGGCACATCAGGACGCCGGCTGAGTACTTGACTGATGCAGCAATACGATGACACTCAATCACGTAATTTTGGAGTACTTACTAGGTACTGGAGGTACCTAACCTAGCGTACTGTCCCCCTGACCGAGAGGCTGCGCAACTGAAAACTACCCGATGTCGCCCTGGTAACTTTCCTCATGGCAAAGAATGTTGCCGAGATTTAGGGCATGAAAAATGTCTTGCAAAAATAGTAGGTTGGGGGGGAGAGAGAGAATGAATATTTGCTTCGTTGGTGCGACGTGTCGACCTAGCAGCTACAGACTTGTTTCGCTATTGGCTACACTAGCTGAAGAAGAAGGTGGTGGTTTTCAATTTGCTCCCGAGCTATATTATTGGGATCTTCAAGACGATGGTGTGAACTGCTGCTGCAGACACAAAGCACTGCACCAGGTAAGCAGGACTTGAGTCGACTCGACTCGACTGGAATCATTCGATCGATCGATCAATACACGCTACAGCAACGTCCACTGACTTAGTTGGCTCCCTTTGTTCGAAACAAAAGTACTTCCGGCACTGCTCTGGTTAAAATCAGAGTCAATCTCCATCTCTGCTCCATCCCTTGTCCTGAATCTAAATGTGCCTACACAGCATTTTGATAGGGCGCCTAGTCATCGGTGGCTTGGTCACCCCGATCATTGCAGGGATCTACAAAGCATGGATATGTGGGATAACAGGTTTTGCTGATGAAGTCGTAATTGTCCTACAGATTTACTCGGTAGCCTAGTTGGCACTATGGGATTTCCACGAACCAGCTTTTCTCCATACATATATGTAGGTGTGTATATGCGTGTTGAATACCAACTGAGCGGAAGTGAATGCATGGTCCTTCAAAACACCCAGTCATTTGATAGGCCTCCCGTAGAAAATAGGTAGTAGGTAGGTGTAGTAGTCTATTTACATGTACACAGTAGATGTCGGCCACGGAAGTGTTCCGTGGTCTATCTCAAGACTTTGTTTGTTTCCTTGCTTCGTTTTACATGTAAACAACAAATTACCTACTACTTCCGCATCCATGTAAGTACAAATAAAAGCTGATACCGGACCCGAAGAGCAATCGGACCCGAGCCGTACAGACCACGCCTCAATAATATTAATTTTCCCACGAAAGGTAGGCTGTGCAAAGCATCAAGTACACTACACTGAATCCAGACTAATAATCAAGGGTAGGGCAAGTATTTGTCATGGCGGCCCAAGTCCTCGGGTCCAGGCCCAGAGAAGGTTGTCAGAACATGGATGTTCTGATCGATCAACGGCCCGAAAACCACTCGATCTCCTTTGTCCAGTTCAATGCGCGCTTTGACTCGTCGTGGCCAATGCACTTCACTTCAATCAATGCATTGAGGCGAACCATGAGGCCGAAGACCCAGCGCTGCCTGAATCTACCTATGTAATCGCGCGCGCCTGTCATCTTGTAGCCATGACTCCTACAGTACCTAGGTGCTTCATCTTGGATAATTGGTCCACAACGCTCCAGCAAACAGCTTTTACGTGTCTTTCTGATGAAGCACTACAGACCATGAGCCAACCTTCAGGGTCCAATAGGGGCAAGCAGAGAATGCTAAATAAGTGTTCTTTCGGTCTTTGCCGTTCGCAGGATTCACGTTAGTACACTTTTGTCTCAAGTATACAGTAACATTGAGGTTTCTCTACCTACTATGTAGTTTGAGGTTAAACTTCCCATCATATGTTGGCTCCTTCTTCACCCCTGCGTTCAATCCTTCGTCGCATCCTGGAAGGGAAATGATCGAATAGAGAAAAATGTCGCAATCGTTTTTGAAATTCTATATGAATTGTCCCTTGGTTTCTGTATGTCGGATGAAGACGTAGTTTGTTTCTCTCCAATGCCTACCGTCGCCCTCACCATCAGAAAGTTGCTGCTGCCTGCCTGCCTCGTATTGCTGCACCACATGAAAATGTCACGAACACCACATCTGCATGCACTGTGGAGGCCCGAATACCTAGCGAGAATAGCTAAGTAAGAAGCCATGCTTCACCCCCTGCATAGGAACGGTTTGCCTCTCATCCAGCAAGAGAAGCTGCTGCACATATTTCCAAATGATAGGCTGGTGCTTTGTCTACGGTTTCAGGAACGCCGCTATGTTCACGGATAGCGTACTTACATAGGCGTTATGCACGGTATCACAGCAGCTTAAGTAGGAGATTTAGGGCTGTCCCAAAAGTCTGGCCCTTCGTTGTGGAGTGCATACCCATTCACATTGCCCACCGCCATCTCGCTCCCGTATTGGCCCACGGGGCTGTTTCAACGCCCGATGACCACCTAACCGGGGCAGATGACTTTGGCCCAAATGACTGGAAATAACCAACCGTTGGCTGGCTCGGTCGAGAGCGCCTAATCTAGCATGCGCCGTCCGAAATTAGACCGGCCGTCTACTGACTGGGCCAACCCGACAATATGGTTACTGGATCGTACCTGTGGATCGTGTCCCGTTTTCCCGGGATGAAGCGGAGTTCTGCAACTCATGGCTAGAACCAACAATCTCATTTGCGAGGACTTTGAGCAAACACGCCTGTCTTCCGGCAAATGATGCCCCATTGTTTTGGACTGGACACCTACTTCGAGCAAGCGGTCCCGAGGAGATGCACGGCAGTTACCGCCCGGTGTGCCATTCTGGGTTGGTGTGGGTGATTGTGCCGCTCCTGTCGCGCGTCGCTGGATATCTGTGTGTTCACTCAGGACCGCCCGATGCTATGCAGTGCAACATTGGTGGAGAGTTCATGCTAGGAGGTGACAGGACATTGCTCCAATTTTTCTATTGGCCGTCTTCAAAACCGACCGTGATCAATCGTTCGATGATTAGTCACTACTCCCCAGGCAGTGTAACATCATTCAGAACGCCATAGCATCGAGGACCGCTGCTCGGAACGCAGAACGTCGAATGTGCGAAGGCGCTTGGGTGTATTGGTGTGATACGGCATAGGACGGACAAGTCAAGTCAGTAGCGGCATCGTTCCGCAGCGTATCTACGATTCTGTACGATACTGCTGCAGCAGATCAGGGTCGACCAAACATCATAGCGCTTCGATCAGTTGTCTCGGCATCACTGCAATAATCTTGATACTGACCATCTAGGGACGAGACACGGCCATGCATGACTTTCCTACTACGATCGTATCTTAGTACATGCCGGCGCCTGTCATTCATCTACATAGAGTATTGCTTCTCAACTTAGTATGCGTGGCACCCCCGTTTCACCAGCAATGCCAAGTCAGATCGCGAATGGTCAAGATCGGTCGCCACTGCGAAAACACCCACTCACTAGGTCCTCTCTATATTCCCCGTTGGAAGCTAAAAGCATGAATACCTAGTCAAGGAATCCACGTGTCCATGTGAAGGAGAATAGGTATACTAGACAGGCCACGCGGTAGGTCCCACTCGGTCAATAGTGAAAAAGTGTGAGGGTACGGCCGAGCCGCGCAACTAGTTTGCATGAGCTACCTACCTATTATCCATTACATCGCCCGAGCCATCAAGCTAATAGAATCAACGGGATGAATTATTCCATTTATAGCTTGCACGCGGAATCCCAGGCTTATGATGCATGATTTCAAACCGCACCAAGCCAACATAGCTAGCTGTTCCCATGGATATGGATCAACGGGCTCAGAGCTGAAGGATGAAGGCGTAAAGTCGGTGAGCCGGAAGACTGTAGACCGTCTCTCTTGTACTCACGGACCGAAAAGGATGATCCTAGATCCAGACAGCAACTGGGATCGACACGAAGTTGACTCCCCTCGCGCCAACGGTATTCCACATCCCCTGCGTTCCTTTCTCTAGTTATTCATGCAATATAATATGCGATGTCCACAACATCAAACTCGCCAAAGCGCGCTGTACAGGCTGAACAACGCTATCGTCAATCGGTACGCTTCGGAGCAGACCTTAAAGCTCACAATTCTAGTCCGAAATACTTACTTACTGCTTCATACTATGTATACCCGGGAGTTACGGCACCGGTACCGTACTTACGGCTACCTGTGTAGATCTAGATCTGATACCGGTTACATCTATACCTACTGAAACCACGTAAGCGCTAGACAGCTGAGACCGCCTTATATGTATAAATGGATGGCCGCACTGCCGACTTCGGAGCATTGATTTCAGCCTCAGTGTACTTACTAACCCAAGTTCGCCCCCCGTGAGGAGGATTAAGGCGGTTACATAGTATGTTCACTCGGAGGTTATTAGGTAGACTGGCTCAGCTCCAGCTGAGAAATATTCGATGAGGTAGGTAGGTAGGTGGTTGCATGGAAAACTTGATTAACCTTGGATATTCGCTCGAGTAATTGTCTTTTGCTGAGATGCGGTGCATTGTCGATGGACTTGGGCATGGGTGGCTTTCGATAGCTTTCGATAGCTTGGGATTGTACGGGTATTGCTTGTCTCGTTACTTGCGTGGTTGGCGGAGACGTTTCGTCTGCGTTTGCAGGTTTTGATGATGAAGTTTGTTGGTTGGTTGATGACGTGCTCGACTTCTTATTACTGTATGCTGTTATTGGATTTGAATCGTTGTGAGTATCTCTTTCTGCTTATGAACAAAGCTGGAACTGGTGCCAGGAGGTGAATTTTGGAACAATGCCTTGGTATAAGGTATCTATATACCTATATCGGTGGAAACGTCTCCTCGCACTCTATGAAAAGTTGAAGAATGATTATACTTGAAGTCCCCCTCTCGATGGACGTCGCGATCATTAGTTAACTTGATTTACATGGGAATCTGTCTGTGTCACGGAGAAGAATAGGAGTGTAGGAATAAACCGCTACGCTATCCAAAAGATGGGACGCCGTTATCAGGTCGAGACCCTGCGTCTCTACATTTAACTATATGGTACTGTGACACTCTGGATGGACATCTCATTTCCCCTACTTAGACTGTGGTTAACTTTCTATCTATATTCTAGCTCGGTGTATATACTGAGATTTTCTCGATCTATATCCTCCTAGTGATCTGCCCTCCATTCCTCTATCTAATTCTGTCCGGTGGCGGGGATGCTCTTGATGCCTCGCGATGCTAGGTTTATGGTGAGAGATTGCAAACTACCTATGCTCTTAGTTGCTTCATGGGAACATATGGAATATAGTATTATAGTTTTGAAGAAATATAAGTAGTGTTCCCGAGAGATTAATTACTTGATACTGGCCTGACCTTAGATTCTTGTTAGACTCCTCCCTAGGTTCACGTTGTTTATATAGAGGATTTTTTTCTCTCTCCCCACAATACGCGAGATAGGGGGTAGCAGCCTTGCTTTAGAGAATAACTATCTTAAGCAGGAGCAAATGGACAGGATATGAGTCTGGTCTACAGTATCCTATGCGATGTGCATTGTTCTAAGAAGGGAAACTAATAAGCTGCCTAGAGTCTAATATGAAATGTTTTTATTCATCTAGTTGAAGCTCGGCAACTCAGAGTCAGTTTGTCTGGACGTAAATAAAGATCAAGTTCTTCACCGCTTCTCATCAGGATGGATGATGAATTATAACAGAATATTTACCAATGCTACGACAGGCCACGTATACCGCTTGCCCTTTGGGTGCGTTTAGGTTCGCGGGGCTGTTCGGCCTGGGGTGACAGCAGCTCATATGATATCAATAATTACCTAATTTGCACACGTAGGTAGGGCCAATATTCAACTTGTAGAAGTGGCGGGGGTTCAGCAGGCAACAATGGCAGGTACCTAAGAAATGCGCACATTATGGAAGGGATAAAGAGCTAATCTATTATGTACATAGGTAAATACTTTATGAAGATATCCTCATCTCAATGGTATCATCTTCAAGGGGTTTTTTTTTTTTTTAGATTATATCTAATGTACTACCAGGTACCTAGGTAAGTATATAAAGCTCTCTAACGTGAAATACAACCGCGTCTCGCGATTTAGTCGGTGGTGCCTGCCTACCAAGATTGGTATTTAGTGGAGAAAAGCTACCCCACTTTAAAGAGCTTCCTTGGTGAATTAGGTAAGCAACTGGACCAAGTACCTTGGCTACCTACAACAGGCTAGAAGGTACCTTGGCGCCTTCTCTTTCTCAGCCTTCAGGAGCCGGGCCTTGCTTGCCTGGATCCCAACTCGCGTCACCTCAGATTTTTGGGGCGAGGTCGTTTTGATTGACTCTCCAATCCAAACCTCCCTCTCCGTTCCTGCTTTCCCTCATTTCCCCTTCAACAACCATCACCACCGATCGCCGACCTGCCATCTTCCTCGCCCAGTTTCTATCAAGATGGCAGAGATCAAGATCGACTCCAAGCTCTTTCACGAGCGCGTCTCGCACTTCGTCAGCGCCTGGAAGAACGACAAGCGCACATCCGACAATGGCGTTTTCGCTGGTGTTTCGTCCATCGTTATCATGATGGGGAAGGTCGAGGAGAATCCTGAATTTCACAAGAACAATGCCATGCACGTACGTCTCTATTTCCTTTTCCCTTCATGATCGCCGTCGCCGCCGCAAGTCGTGATCCCCGTCCTATCGATATACGCTGACCATCTACCCCAGTTCTGGCTGCTAGGCTACGAATTTCCGACTACGCTCATGCTTTTCACCACCGAAAAGCTCTACGTCGTCACAACTGCTAAGAAAGGTATTACTTCGATGGCGCATCGTAACCGCTGCTAGATTACTGATTCAATTTAGCCAAACATTTGGAGCCGTTGTCCAAGGGAAAATTCCCCGTTGAGGTGCTTGTTCGAGGCAAGGATGCTGCTGCAAATGAGAAACAGTTCATCACCATTGCGGAAACCATCAAGTCGGCCGGCGTGAGTCATTCTTCCATCGTCTACTATTTACTATTACTAAGCCAATTGCCCTTGATAGAAAAAGGTCGGCGTCTTGAGTAAAGATACATCCAAAGGCCCCTTCGTCGATGAATGGAAAAAGATATTCAGCGAAAAATGCTCCGACGCCGAAGAAGTTGATATTTCCGCTGCTTTGTCTTCGGCGGCTTTTTCTGTCAAGGATGAAACCGAACTACGCTCCATGCGCACCGCTTCGAAGGCCTGTGTCGCCCTCATGAACCCATACTTCTTAGACCAGATGTCCGACATCCTAGATCGGGAAAAGAAAGTCAAACATAGCGCACTTGCCCAAATGGTTGACTCGCGACTCGATGACGAGAAATGGTGGAAGACAGTTGAGCTGCCTGGAAAGCAGAAACTACCCTCGGACTTTGACCCGTCATCTCTTGATTGGTATCTTGGCCCAGCCGTTCAAAGTGGTGGCAAGTATGATCTCAAATTACACGCGGAGCCCACGAACGATAATCTTCATGCTGGCGTGATTATTGCTGGAATGGGCTTGCGATATAAGTCCTACAGCTCCGTTATCGCTCGAACCTTCTTAGTTGACCCAAACAAAACTCAAGAGAGCGTCTACAAAACGCTACATACAGCACACAACCTGGTTCTAAAAGAAATCCGAGATGGAGCTGTTGCTAAGGACGTCTACAACAAGGCTCTTAGCTACATCAAGTCAAAAAAGCCCGACTTAGAAAAGCATTTCGTCAAGAATGTCGGATGGGGAATCGGTATCGAGAGCAAGGATACAAGTTTGATCTTAAACGGCAAGAACTCGCGATCTTTGAAGGATGGAATGACACTGTGCATTACCACCGGCTTCACTGACGTCGAGAATCCTTCCCCACAGGATAAACTCAGTAAGACTTACTCACTAGTTATCACCGACACCATCCGAGTGACTGCTAGCGAGCCCGTCGTTTTCACTGGTGATGCGCCATCTGAGCTCGATGCGACGTCATTTTTCTTCAATGACGATGAAGAGATTCAACCCACGCCGAAGAAGGAGAAGAAAGATGCGCGAGTTGGTGCTGTTGCTACTAAAAACATCACCAATACGCGTCTAAGATCTGAACGCACTACCCAGGTTGACGAGGATCAAGAGAAGCGGCGTCGAGAACATCAGAAAGAACTCGCTTCCAAGAAGCAAAAGGAAGGCCTGGCCAGGTTTGCCGAATCGACTAGTGGCCAGAATGGCACTGAGGTTAAGAAGTTCAAGAAATTTGAGTCATACAAGAGGGATAACCAGCTTCCTCTAAGAGTCAAGAATCTTGAAATTGTAGTTGACCAGAAGAACCACACAGTTGTCCTTCCCGTGATGGGACGACCTGTTCCCTTTCATATTCACACTATCAAGAACGCTAGCAAAAATGATGAAGGGGAGTGGTCTTACTTGCGAATCAACTTTTTATCACCGGGTCAGGGAGTCGGTCGAAAGGACGATCAGCCATTCGAGGATGCGTCAGCACATTTTGTTAGAAGCTTAACTTTCCGTTCTCTAGATGGTGATCGATATGAAGAGATTGCGACCCAGATCTCCAACATGAAAAAGGAGGCCACGAAGAAGGAGCAGGAGAAGAAGGACATGGAGGATGTTGTGGAACAAGAAAAACTCATTGAGATTCGAAGTAAGTTGAGCTAGAGGAACCTTCTTAGTATGCTGGGCTAATATTTGGGTAGACCGACGACCTCCCGTTATGGATAACCTTTACATCCGCCCCGCTATGGAAGGCAAACGCGTTCCAGGCAAGGTCGAGATCCATCAGAATGGTATTCGATACCAGTCACCACTTAACACGCAACAACGGGTTGATGTGCTGTTCTCTAATATTCGCCACTTGTTCTTCCAGCCATGTGCTCATGAGCTTATTGTGGTTATTCATATACATTTGAAAGACCCCATTATCATTGGTAATAAGAAAAAGACCAAGGATGTGCAATTCTACAGAGAAGCTACAGACATACAATTCGACGAGACAGGAAACCGTAAGCGGAAGTACCGGTATGGCGACGAAGATGAATTTGAGGCCGAACAAGAGGAACGACGTCGCAGAGCGGAGTTGGACCGCATGTTCAAGCTATTTGCCGATAAGATTGCCGATGCTGGTAAGAATGAAGGTGTCGAGGTCGACATGCCTCTTCGTGAACTCGGATTCAACGGTGTTCCTTTCCGCAGTAACGTTTACATTCAGCCTACGACAGACTGTCTTATCCAGGTTACGGAACCTCCATTCATGGTCGTCACGCTTGACGATATTGAGGTAGCCCACTTGGAACGTGTGCAATTTGGGCTCAAAAACTTTGATCTCGTGTTCGTCTTCAAAGACTTCACTCGTACGCCATTCCATGTCAATACGATACCGGTAGAGTCTTTGGAAGATGTCAAGGAGTGGCTGGATTCCTCAGACATTGCATTCACCGAGGGACCCCTCAACCTTAACTGGCCTACTATCATGAAGACAGTTACTGCTGATACTCACCAGTTCTTCGCGGATGGCGGTTGGTCTTTCCTCCAGAATGAGACCGACGACGAGGATGACGATGAAGAGGAAGAGGAGTCCAATTTTGAAGTATCAGAGTCCGAGTTGGAAGCAGCAAGCGAGTCTAGTGAAGACGACTCGGACTTTGATAGTAACGCGTCCGATGAGGCTAGCGAAGAGGGCTCCGAGGAAGAGGATGAAGGTGAAGACTGGGACGAATTAGAGAAGAAGGCCAAGCGGAAAGACCGTGAGAGTGGCTTGGACGAAGATGACGGCGGCCGTAACAAGAAAAGAAGACGCTAGAGATTAGCGCTTCATGGTGCATGAGCATCATCTAATGAAGATGCTCTTGACACACAGGCGCGGATATTCATACGGGAATGAGAAGTTCGTGGTCGGTATGATCTGGCTTTTGTTTTAATATAATTTCGGGAACCCGGGGGCGGAGGATAGGTAGGGAATATTCTGTCACCGCGACCAAATCCCTTCTACGCAGATTTTATACGCAAGTTCGTTTACAGTCGAGGTGGCACGCGGCTCGGCATCAAATATGTCGTGGTGAGACGGGGTGGCTCGAGCTGTTTCTCAATTCAGCGAATTTCGTTCACTCGCAAGGTTATGTAGGTTAGGCTGTTACGTTTCATACAACAAAAGATAAAGATTACTCATAGATCGATACGATGTCCATTCGAGAAAAATGACACCCGTGATTAAGTAATGATATGATTTTCGCGCCTTGAAACAGGGCGATGAGTTCGGCGTTATCGAGACCGTTCAGCAAGTAGACTAGTAGGAAATGTTTCATTTGGAAGAGTTCGCTAATCTACGACATATCGAGGTTTCATTCACTGCATGAACGGGAGATGAACTTGAAAGAAAGGAATACGTTGGTTTTAGTTAACAATGAATTATATTGTTTTTTCAATATATCTTATCGTTTAAGCTAAAGCGAAAACAAAAGACCGGTAACATTTCTAGAACGGTATCGCAAGGCTCGATGGGTATGGTATGAAGAGCCTAGTAGTAAGGGGTTTTGGGGGGTTTTGGGGGGGGGGGGGGGGGGGGGGGGTAACCGTGATGTACAAAATAGTAAGTAAGTATAAGAAAAGAACAAAACAAAAAAGCGTTATAAAACCCCAAATAAAATGGGAGACAGAAGTGATA